CAACCTTAATTACTTCCACCCTCAAGAGGAGTGAGCAAATGGTACGAAATTGCACATATTTCCCACGAAACACAAAGCCAACACATGCGATACAGGGCGTTTAAAAAAAGTTCGAATTCAACTTTGACAGACTGCTGCCACATAAAATACTAGGGTAAATGATAAAACTTTTGTATGGCAATAAAGACTAGCCTATTAGGTTTTCGATTATATCTTTCGTATATCAATACGACCTGAAATAACCAAGTTATCGTCTGCTAAAAATTAATGGTTGCTTGAAATCAAAATTTTCCGCTTATGGGAACTCGAAGTGATGCAGCAGTCGCCGCTGTAACACCCTCCCCCTATCGATAGTAACATTTTTATGCCGGTTTCCCAGTGATCGCGCTAGGGGAGGGGACATTCGCTCCACCCAATTTTGCTGTCTGGCTCCCAGTATGCCCCCAATATTTTTTTATGTTACGTAAGTAGTCTATAGTTTTATGCGATGTTCGCTTTATTAATAATAAAATCTTCCCCCCCCCCCCACTCATTTTAAGCAGGCTCCGCCCCTGAGGTTCTAAAACGCCAGTTCACGGTGTAACTTCAACCAAATCTCTGTAGCGAAAGAGAAAATCTCACTCACAGATATTTAAACCGAGGTTAATCGTGAAATTGATTAAATATTTAATTGTTATTATAGGTAATGGCTCACAGCAAACGTGTGGGCTTACAATTTACAACTATACAATTAAGAAGACATATTTAAAAACAGTATACGATTGTCCACAAAAAAGTCACACTAAGTTAAAAAGGCATCTATTCATAAAAACTCTTTTGAATCTTTCCGTACGAACCCTTGGTAATTCATAGTCATGTCCACGATTACGTAACTCCAATTGACTTTGGGTGGTAACAGGGCGTGTAAGGCGTGATTAGGGTCTGTTATAATTTTTTTCCATAATTTAACATCTTTAGTGTTTAAAATATCCAAAATAGATAATTGATTAAGAAGATATCCATATTTATATGCCCGATTTAAAAATTTGTCAATTTGATTAAGATACTTTGAGTAAGACGCGCATCCCCAAACTTCGATGCAAATATTAATATCGATAAAATAAGACTTAGACTGTGAAAAAGAAGATCCAACTCCATTCTGGAGTTGTTCGTATTATTAATATTCGTATTGTGTATATCTCTGAATAACGAACATTATTTTTATCGTCGCAATAACATGATTATAATAAGATTTGCATGATTATTTGAAAATTTACGTTGAAAAATTACTCAACTAAATTGAAAAATTATAATTTGGGTTTTTATTGACATACACAACTTCTTCGTTGTCTGCTATTTTAATGCGAAACACCTGCGATAAACACCGCAGGAAAACGTCTGCGCGTGCGTCAGCCCTGCCAGTAATTTGCATTAAGAACCTGTTCCGAACGTTTCCGAAGGCTCGAAATGACGGTAAAAGAGAGTGACTTCATTGTGTTATATTTCGAGCTCATTGCATTCCAAAAACTAAGAATAAAAAGACCAAAATGTACAAGAAGTTGCATCCTACATTCACCTCCCAATTATCGTTCTAGTTACGCTACTGTTGTCAGGATTATGTTGTATAAATTTCACTACTTCGAAGTCACGTTTCCCACCTTTTTTTAAATCTCGGCTAAGCGAGATCATGTAAACAGCATCTTAAGCATTTTGTTTATCAAATACGCCACAACAGCTTCGTCGTTCTAGTTACCTCCCTGATGTTAAGAATAATAATTGCTGAAAAACAAAAACTTTACTTCTGGTCAACGTACGTGTTCTCAAAAACGTCACTTGCTTAAGCTCACTGTTAAAAGAAGTACGTCGCTCAATACGAGAAGTTTTCGTCTTCTTCATATTTGAAATTTAGGATGTATTTTACTATTTAAATGGATTAAAGAAGCTCAACTTTTCGAGGGTTTTCTAAACTTTTAGGTTTAAACTTTTGTTTTCGGAAAATATTCTGAAGTCATGCCGTTAAAAAAACAACAAAATTCACACGAATTCCATTTCGCTTGATACTTTAAATGCTAGGACACTTTTAACGATTGTTTGGTCTATCCATCTCGCGTTTGCTTTGCTTATATTTTATGAATTCATTAATTCATGTTTTGTTTAATTCATTAATGCATGTTTTGTTTCATATTCAGTATGCTAATTGATATTCAGAATTTCCGCCATAGTTGCGTAATTTGGTGCGTGCGCAGACGTTTTCCCGCCGTGTTCCTGCTGTGTGCTCTTGAAGAATACGGCACACATGTGCGCATGCTTCATGATTAACAACCAACATTCGTCATTATTTTCTAGGTTTTCAAAGGGTCTTAATTTCAAGTGGAATCATACACAACTCAATTCTGTACCTGATCTGTGGAAATGCGCGGATGTTCTCCCTTTAAGCAAGATCCCTACACCGAAATCTATTGATACGGACCTTAGACCTATATCCCTCACGGCAGTACTGAGCAAGATCCTTGAGTCTTTCGTGTTCAATTGGCTTGCACCCATTGTTATGCCATTCATTGATCCCCTCCAGTTTGGCTGTGTGAAAAAGTCCTCAACGACTCACGCCCTCGTGCACCTAATCCACCATTGGCTTTCGGCCCTGGAAACACCTAATACCATTATTCGATCCTGCTTTATTGATTTTTCCAAAGCGTTTGATCGAATTGACCATAACATTCTAATGCGCAAATTACAACTCCTCAACGTTCCACCCGTGTTATTAAACTGGTGTTCAAGTTTCCTTCAAGGCAGACAACAGCGCGTTAAATTAAAATCTTGTAAATCTGATTGGAAAGAAATCAATGCTGGAGTTCCGCAAGGCACAAAATTGGGGCCTTTGTTCTTTCTTATAATGGTCAATGATCTATCCAGTGAACTACCACTGTACAAGTACGTTGATGATTGTGCTATTTCTGAAGTTGTTAGAGTATGTGAACCGGATTTTCCAAAATTACAGCAAGAACTCGATAAGGTGTCTCAGTGGTCGAATGTGAACAACATGAAATTAAACGTAAAAAAAACTAAAGATTTCACCGTGTCCTTCTTGATCAATCAACCCCCGGCACAACCCTTGCTTGTCAATAACCTACCTCTGGAGGCTGTGAACTCTATCAAACTCCTGGGAGTAAATTTAACCTCCGATCTCAAGTGGACCACACACATCAGGCACATATCCTCTAAAGCAAGCAAACGCCTGTATGCCTTAAGGCTATTAAGAAGAAATGGTGTCCAACCTAGTGATCTTAAGGCGGTATATTGTAGTTTCATCAGACCTGTCCTGGAATATGCATGTCCAGTTTGGCATACCTCACTACCTAATTTCCTCACCGTTGAATTGGAACATATTCAGCAACGTGCGTTCAAAATTCTTTTTCCCCATTTGTCCTACACCGAAAGCCTTAAAGACCTGAATTTACCTACCTTAGAAGCGAGAAGGGAACGGTTATGCAGAACCTTTTATAAAAATAATTATAATGACCCTTCGGGTAAAATTTCTAGTCTATTACCCAAACTTTTAACCCATGAGTACGATCTCAGACATCCTCGATCGATCTCTCTTTTTAAATGTCGAACGAAACGCTATAATGATAGCTTTTTGCCGTATTGCATACGTAAATGGAACTCATTTTAATATTTTAATATTTTAGAACCTAATGTTAGCATATCTTTTTGTAGTTATGGTATTAACATGTTAGTAATTGTATTTCTGAGTATTTTATCACTGTAAATATGTAAATAGTCTTATTTCTGATACTTGTAAACTTGTGTTTTTCAGTTCGTTTTTGAACTGCCATTCAAGTATTTTAATAATAATCACAATCATAATCACAATCACAATTCAAGCCAAGAACAGTTGAGAAAAATGAGTCAACTATCGGTCCTATAATAATAATAATAATCTATTTTGATCCATCTTAAGTGTAAAAGTACAATGGATTTACAATTTAATTGAAAATACATTAGGAATATTATTAAGAACATTATGTACAGATAAAAATCTTATGTATATATACACTAATACTACTACAAAGCTATATGAGTGCACTTGCACGAGCTAAGAAGGAACGCTTGTGTCTCTCGGTTCGCGATAATATGTTTTTGCAACGAATTGTCCGTAGGTTATAAGGATTACTTGATTTAGAGAGTCTTATATGAAAAGGATCGGAGGGGTCATTCATAATCTTCCGCGCTTCATGCTTCAGAAGTTCTTCTCTTCGATCTGAGAGACTTTGTAGATAGTCACTGTTACAACCAAGAATTCGGAGGCAGCGGGTCTGGGTTCTTTCAATTTCATTTACCAAATAGGTTGGAAGGCCACCCCAAACAGGTGAGGCATACTCAAGAATAGATCTAATATTGGATTTATAAAGGGTAGGAATTCCGGCAGGAATCGGAACCTACGCTCTCGTGATGCCGGTGCAGTGCTCTTGACTAATTTTTCTCAACTGTTCCTGGCTTGAATTGAGTTGTGTATCATTCCACTCAAAATTAATACCCTTTAAAAACCTTCAGAATTTACCTACATCGAGTGAAGTGCCACAAAATCGTAATTGATTTACCCTCAGCATAAATTATTACTGCATTATTGCCGGTATTAGGCAACCACAATAGTTGAACAAAGTTATTTAATAATGTTGTCATAATTCGTCATAATATGTCATCGTTGTTCTACACAAGACTATGTGCACGCAAGAGCGTCAATCCAACTAAAAATTTGAGGGGGACGCACTTTTAAAATGAATCATATTGGCTAGATTAATGCGTTATGTATACTAGCTACATTTCGTAATAAAAGTGCCAATGATTGCGATCGAGCAGCAAATCCAGCGATACAATGCAAAAATAGATTACTTAATATTTCACTATAAAGTAGGTAGATATGGGGGGATATTTATGGGGGGATAATATCCCCCCAGGATTGATACTCTTGTGTTTATGTACCAATAGTTTCGTAGTAACCATAGTAATATTAAGTGTATTCAATTTTTGAATCCCGTTTTAAAGGTTTTGTCTTTTAAAGGTTTATATAGCCTCTTAAACTTCATTTTAGTTTTTTCTAGCGAGCGCCAAAGTTTCAAAAACATATTTACTTCATCTTCTTCTTTTTTTATTTCTCCTGACTCTAATAGCAAATTGCTATCTCTCGGGCTTTCTGGCATAACTCCAATACTTCGACGTCCGTCATTCCTGTCAGAATTTCCCTTTCGTAAAGATCTTAATCTCATTTGAAGCTTCACATGCCTAGTTTCTAACAATAGCTTTAAGCGTTCTATCTCTAGTTTTAGAATTGCAATGTTTTGAAAACTTTCAGTCTTATCAGAATGTTCTACTACGTTGAGCTTTTCAAGAGCTTGTTGATACGAATCTAATGTTGACTTGTAATCTTTCACTGCCTGTTGTGTTATTTCAAAGTTGTCACAAACGTCCCCACTGTCCAGATAATATTCCTCATTTCGCTTTAATTGAATGTCAAGAGATTTTTGAAACGACTCCAATGCTAGCTTGTAATCTCCCATTTCATGTTGCATGTTTCCAATGCTTTCATAACTGTCAGCTGTTGCGGGATGGACTTCTCCAAATAGCTTTAACCTGATTTTAAGAGCTTTTTGTTTAGACTCTAATGAGGAGTTGACATCTTTCATGCTATTTTGTGTGTCTCCAATGCTTTCATAACTGTCAGCTGTAGCGGGATGGTCTTCTCCAAATAACTTTAACCTAATCCTAAGAGCTTTTTGCCTCGATTCCAATGATGATTGGTAATCTTCCGTAAAATGTTGCAACATTCCCATGATTACATAAATATTAGCTGTTTCAGGATGATCTTCTCCAGATAATTTTAACCTGATTTTAAGAGCTGTTTGAAGAGACTCTAATGCTGACATGAAATCATTTAGTCCAAGTTGTGTGAGTGAAATTGTAAGATAATTATTGGCTGTGGCAAGATTTTCTCCAAATAGCTTTAACCGGATTTTAAGAGCTTTTTGTTTCGACCCCAATGATGATTTGTAATCTTCCATGCTATTTTGTGTGTTTCCAATGCTTTCATAACTTTCAGCTGTTGCGGGATGATCTTCTCCAAATAGCTTTAACCTGATTTTAAGAGCTTTTTGTTTAGATTGTAATGATGAGTTGTAATCTTCCATGCTTTTTTGTGTCTTTCCAATGCTTTCATAACTGTCAGCTGTTGCGGGATGATCTTCTCCAAATAGCTTTAACCTGATTTTAAGAGCTTTTTGTTTAGATTCTAATGATGAGTTGTAATCTTCCATGCGATTTTGTGTCTTTCCAATGTTTTCATAACTGTCACCGTTGCAGAATGGTCTTCTCCAAATAGTTTCAACCTGATTTCAAGAGCTTTTTGTTCAGACTGCAATGTTGATTTGTAATCTTGCATGTTATATTGTGTCTTTCCAATGCTTTCATAACTGTCAGCTGTTGTAGAATGATCTTCTCCAAATAGCTTTAACCCGATTTTAAGAGCTTTTTGTTTTGACTCCAATGATGACTTGTAATCTTTCATGGTATTTTGTGTCATTCCAATGCTTTCATAAATGTCAGCTGTTGCAGGATGGTTTTCTCCGAATAGCTTTAACCTGATTTTAAGAGCTTTTTGTTTACATTCTAATGATGATTTGTAATCTTCCATGCCATTTTGTGTATTTCCAATGCTTTCATAACTACAGCTGTTGCAAGATGATCTTCTCCAAATAGCTTTAACCTGATTTGAAGAGCTTTTTGTTTCGACTCTAATGATGATTTGTAATCTTCCATGCCATTTTGTGTCTTTCCAATGCTTTCATAATGTCAGCTGTTGCAGGATGATCTTCTCCAAATAGCTTTAACCTGATTTCAAGAGCTTTTTGTTTCGACTCCAATGATGACTTGTAATCTCCCATGCTATTTTGTGTCTTTCCAATGCTTTCATAACTGTCAGCTGTTGCGGGATGGTTCTCTCCAAATAGCTTTAACGTGATTTTATGAGCTTTTTGTTTCGACTCCAATGATGACTTGTAATCTTCCATGCCATTTTGTGTCTTTCCAATGCTTTCATAAATGTCAGTTGTTGCGGGATGATCTTCTCCAAATACATTTTACCTGATTTGAAGAGCTTTTTGTTTCGACTCCAGTGATGACTTGTAATCTTCCATGCTATTTTGTGTTTTTCCAATGCTTTCATAAATGTCAGCTGTTGGAGGATGCTTCCCAAATAGCTTTAACCTGATTTCAAGAGCTTTTTGTTTCGACTCCAGTGATGACTTGTAATCTTCCATGCCATTTTGCGTCTTTCCAGTGCTTTCATAACTGTCAGCTGTTGCGGGATGGTTCTCTCCAAATAGCTTTAACGTGATTTTATGAGCTTTTTGTTTCGACTCCAATGATGACTTGTAATCTTCCATGCTCTTTAGTGTCTTTTCAGTGCTTTCATAACTGTAAGCTGTTGCAGGATGATCTTCTCCAATCAGCTTTAACCTGATTGTAAAAGCTTTTTGTTTAGATTCTAATGATGATTTGTAATCTTCCATACTATTTTGTGTCTTTCCAATGCTTTCATAACAGTCAGCTGTTGCAGGATGATCTTCTCCAAATAGCTTTAATTTGATTTCAAGAGCTTTTTGTTTCGCCTTCAATGTTGATTGATAATCTTTCATCTTATGTTGTGTTACTCCAATGCTTTCATAACTGTCAGCGGGGTCCGGATGAACTTCTTCAAGTAATTTCAATCTTGTTTTAAGAGCTTTTTGTTTCGACTCTAATGACTGGTTGTAGTCTTCCACTTCATGATCATGTTGTGTGATTCCAATGCTTTCGACCGAATTCACGGTGTATAATGAAGTCGGAGTATACTAAAAATAGTAATTCACTCAATAAACTACATAAATGCACCTAGTATGGCGGAACAAAAAGAAACTCCAAAAAGATATAAGATCGAATTTAGATCCAAAGTGTATGTGTAGACTGTATCATCGCCGATAGAATCGGTTTTACTATCATCACAAGTTCTTTTGACATTCAATACAGACAGAATTAAGAGGCAAATAACAATAGCAACACAGGTTATTTCGCTTTGCAGTACAGTATTCGTCATTTTTTTAAATACAACACGCAATGTGATTGGGCAGAATGTTTTTATACACTTTTCGGGGCAATCATATTGCGTGTTGTATTTAAAAAAAATGACGAATACCGGCGCCCTTAGCATCCAGCAACGAGACAAGAAATTTATACTCATGTTAGCAGACTCCAAAGACAATCGACTTGACAAGAAATTAATCATGCGTGACATGAACATATCAATTTGTTTGTGGTAAATATTGATAATGTATAATAATATGCATGCCAGTTCAGCCATTGCAACGTGCACAGACATTGAGACAGTGTTTATACTAATGACCCCAGTTAAAACTTCCTGCTTCTTTATAAAATTGATATTATCTTGCTGAAATGTAAAGATTTGTATCAATATGGGCCCCAATTATCGTGCTGGCTACGCCACAGCTATGCTTTCAGCAATGCCGAATATTACGAAGCTATCTTTATAATAATCTAAAAAATAAACCTTCATCATTTACCTCCAATTAGCTTTTTTTTCATTCACCACCTCCATATTTTCAATCTTCACCTCCAGTCCTTCCACTTTAATTCCAACCAGAGAAAATTCTTCCTGCAAGCGTTCCTTCATCCTTCCTGATTCGTAATCCGCTAATACTTCCAGAAACCTTTCGTCTGTGAAACAATGTAACTCAAAATGCAAACATCCTGGTCGAATGTCACGAACGTCTTGATCATCGCGTTTCCCACCAACGCCCTTAGTAATTGCATCATCAATTATTGGCTTCAATGCTGGAAAACCAAAATACAGGGCGCCTAGACTTAGACTATTCCAACTCCTAGTCCAATTCCTAGTCCAACTCCTAGTCCCAATCCCTGCCCCAATCCTTGTCCCACTCCATGCCCCACTGTGTTGCCCACTTCTCGTGCTATATCACACAACTTTCCTGCCACTTCTACTTTGGAAGTGCTAATATCGATGTTAAATATCCCTCCAGTTGCTACAATACGCAGAGCTTCCAGCAGCTGAAGCTGATTCTTCCATTGAGCAAATATCTTAAGCGTAGAACTGAAAGAAACAAAAATCAACATAACCAGCTGCTGTATTTTATATACAAAATGAGTATTTTTTAATGGAGTCCGCCCTTGCCCGCTGTCCCTGAAAAAATGCCCGCCGCCCCTGGATTTGAGGATAGCTTCTTGGTTCATTTATTAATCAGAATTATGATTTTGAAAAAGTATGGTTTGAATTGAAACGAATTGAAATAAATTTGATTTTGAAAATGAAACGACATGAAATGAAATGAATTTGTTAGATATCCAGTTAAAATTTGGGATCAGTGAACAAATATGACGTCAGTCATATGTAAATATAGAATGACGCCTGTCGAAATATGGTGTCAGGAGTGAGATTTGATAAGACATACAAATCGAATAAAAACTTCCTGAATTTCTTTTCCGGCAATGAAAACCAGCCGACAAATGGTCACAAAAGCAGTCATTGAAGGTAAAGAGTGGCCTTAAGTAGTTCTCAAACTGAATCTTATGACAAAATTTATATGCTGGAAAAAAATTAAAAATCTGCAGAAAATCGTGTCTGATCTGTGCATAGGCTCAGCTAAATGCACTTCTAGGCTACAGGTTTATGCCTATACTGAAAACAAGGCTGATATAAAAAAAAACGTGGTTACAGGAAGTTATGAGTCTGTTTGTATTAAGCATTCATAAAAAATTCCGCGTAAATCAATGATGCTGGAACGATGGTGAAGGCTCTGTCTTGGTAATATCGTTACTCGTTAATCATGCAACTCTTTTATTACTGCATTAAAGCGTGGAGCTCTGCATCCCAAAACAAATAATTTTTATTTAGATCGTATAGACAAGTTCTTCTGGCGGGCTTAACGTTGTGGCTATGCATGCAACAAAGAATATCACGATATCTGAAATTATCGAAGCTTTAAGGAGAGAAAATTATTTAGCATTATTATATGGCACGCGGTCTCGTGACTAAAATGGCGTGCGCTGATTGGTTCTTTGCCGGTCTGGAATCCCCCAGTATTGGACCGTTGCCGTAGTAACGGTCCAACTCTCATATTTTTGAACAAAAACAAGCTTGCACTTTTATTTTTGACACGAAAAATATCGACGGAGAATGGACGAAGAAGAGCATTATTTGGTACATGTGAATATTATATTTATTCATCTTTGATTTTTGTTTATAATTATTACTGTATCATTCTTATTTAACGAGTAAAAAACAAAGTTTTTGAAGACACTTCAGTGCTTGCTTGGCGACTGGCTGCGAAAGAGCCGGCAAGAATGCTGCAGCGCATTGTATAAATAAATAAACTAAATATTGTATGCCATATAATAAATCCCTTATTAACCGAATACGTTCGGTCCGTACTGGAACCTCAAATTCGGTTAATAAGTGGTATATATTGTATCAAATCTAGATTATGAACTATACATATTGCTTCCTAGTTATAAACAGAGAGGCTTAAGACAAAGGGGACATATTTTTATTCCACTTCAAATTAAAACTGAACGATTCAAACGATCTTTTATAAATAGTCTTTTCAATTATTTGAAAAGACTATTTATAAAATTTAAAACTTGTACATAATAAATTCTTGTAATTAAATTTAATATATAAAATTATAGCATTTAAGATGCCTTGTACCAAAAAATCACGATTTATTCTGTTTTGAAAATTTCAAGGTTGCAAACTTATATGTCTCCCTAATCGACGCTGAATATTTTTTCTCAAAAAATTATATAAAGAAAAAAAATATATAAAGCACGCAAGAAAGGGTAATTGATAAACTTTTCATGGTTTACTTTAAAGACAATTGGCATCCTGAACGTGAAGTGTTGTATTCCGTATAGTCTAAGTAAAATAGCGACTGTTTAAAATAGATTGATCGTAGAAGTTTTATATTTTTACAGTCTGTAAAACGTTTTTTACAGGAAACGTTTTATATATTCGAGGTTCAGCTCCGAGGCAAAACCAATTCCGTCGTTCTAGTGTTAAAACCTAGTTTGTTATCGTTTTTACAAAAATCTACCATTGAGTGTGCCTGGTCTGGGTAACTATAGTAGTGATCAGAGCAGCTTGGCTTGCAATATGGCATGAAAAGATTTTTATATTTTTCAAAATAAAAGTCTAAAAAGTAAATTAAGTCCGCGTAAATCAATTGAATTAGCCATGTGAGTAAATAAATTGCTCAATTTACTGCTCAATTTACTTCAGAGCACTTGCATAGCTTATGCCGCGATGTTGTAATAACATGAACTGTGAAATGAAACTATGGCAAGTATTAGGTAGCAATTAAGGTAGCTATATAAAAAGCGTTGAACTCTTTGATTTTCAGATAATTACTCCGGCGTCAGCGACGGAGTTGAAAATTCGCCTCGGTTTTCTTTTGTTTTTTTTTTTTTTTATTTTTCGTCGTCGCAAGTGTGTTTTGGCGCGAAATATACTAGTATTTGAAAAGTGTACGGTATGTGACCATAATTATCTACGTAACAGTTTTGCCTCCCAAGATGTGGTCGTGCTTGTATGGGCGCGTTGACACGTCGCAGTTTGCACGGGATTGAACATTTAATATAGCTATATAAGCGCGAATTCCAAAGTGTAAGAGTAAGACAAAGTGAACGTATCATGCGGTTTATTAACATTTTTGAACAATTGAACTTCTATACTTTTTAAAGCACGATGTGCTTCTGAATGTCGCGATCGAACAACATTTAGGTTCGCAAAGCATATAAATGAGTATGAACTGTATTGTTTATTTTCAGAAGCTTTATATTAAAGATTGGCACGTGAGTGAACTCCAGAACGGGCGTCTTGTTATTTATTTAAAACACAAGTCACAAGCCAACATAATTTACATGTTGTCAGCTTGGCTGATTTCACAATAGTGCCTCCCACGTGTGATAGTGCAACCTTATCCGACCCGTTCACATGACTTAATTAACCAACCAATCAAATAAATTAATTTAGAATATAAAGATCTATTGTTTCCTACAGTAGTTTTAAACAGTTTAGGGGTTCAAACGTACTTTCCGATATGAAAGTAAGAAAAGCTAACTGACGCAATATTTTCTGCGAAACAGGGGCAAAATAAGATCGAAATAATTATATCCACTTCATCGTCATCACAGTTCTGTGAAAACGCCTGGAAGTCAGCAGGAAATAAAACCCTATTTTGGTATATAAGCTAGCTTACTTAATAATTAGCTCCTTTATTGCTTATTTTTTTACGATCTTTTATGATCGATTTTTTAAGGTTTACGATCTACAAACTCTATCCGCTCAACTTGACGCTATCGACTTCTTTCGTTTCGTTAGAAAACTTTTTGACCAAAAATTATTTATTCCTTTGACTCACGTGACTCGGGCCGTGCTGCTGTTGGGCCGACACCTTAAATGTAGATTGCGATAAACCCCCTAGTATTTGGCAAAGCATATGCCAACGTCGGTTATTCTCATTTGTATGAAGTAATAATTCCTGAACGACGTGACATTATATTATTTGTTTATTATTATTGTACAGGGTTTTTTCTCTTTATATAAAAAGCGTTCTTTGTACACAACGCTTCGCGATGCAAATATCGTCATATCGACCAGTACATATATCGGCAACACATCTTTATTCCTGTGAAATATTTCGAACCGACGATATTCAAAAACACCATGTGACTCATTTTAATCATTCTGTTTTGGGGGTCATTTTGACCCATCTGTTTTTGCAGCGTACGAAAGTTCTGAAGAAATTCTATGAAATAGCGGCTTAGAATATTAAGAAATGTTCTTGGCAGAGCGAAACGTGAAATTAGTAATAAATATAGTGGTACAAAATCTCTTTTTTGGAGTATATATCCTACGCTGATTTTGTGTGTTTTGTTAAAATTGTTACGCAAGGCTTTATTGAGTTTAGAGATACGCATATAAAAATAGCTGTAAAAATAGGAATATCAATAGCATGACAGGGATTAGTGAATGATTTTTGCCACAAGACGCCTGAGTAAATATAACTTCCGGGCTTGGTGGAAAACACGGACCCCGGACTACGGACCACGGACTACAGACTACGGACCACGGACTACGGACTACGGACTACGGACTACGGACTACGGACCACGGACTACGGACCACGGACTACGGACCACGGACGTACTTCCAAAATATTTCCACCATTGAAAATGCGATTTGCCTACCTGCACAAAAGTGAGCCCCCTTTATTTGGAATGCTTTCCGTGGATGTGGACATTTGTTTCACATTGAATGTGTTCTGCCTATCATTAGCCATTGCCCAGTTTGTCAAGCAACGTTTTTGGCAAAAGTTGAAGCTCTTGGCAAGACGGCAAACAAGGCTGTGTTTTCTCCTGCAAATATCAGCGTTGACGAAGCGAACACAGCGACGAAGAGAGTGATCCTTAAGACGACGACGGCTACGACGATGATACAGAAAACAAACAGAATTAAACAACAGTAAACAATTTCTTGGATAACCCCTTGGGCTTTAGTTTCCTCTTCCAAGAATCCAACCGGATATGAGTGATGTGATATCTAATAATAACACTACACTTTTAACTCTGACGTGTTCCGACGAGAAAGATATTACTCTGTACCACAGAATAGGGTCCTAACTACACTGTAGTCAGTCTACTGGAAGGAAATACGTTAAAAGTTACAAAATTTATAGAGTCTGACAAAGTATTTCATATGCGTTTTAAAGACAGGCTATACTGAGGTGTCTGCTATTTTACGCGCGTTGACACACGGTTATTCAAACATAAATATTTCGCGTTGTGCATCGAATTTACAAAATCCCCACAAGGAAATTAAAGAAAAAGTCACGCTTTGTCACAATTTGTTAGTTTTGAGGTGAAAAGTTTAATATTGAATGGCACGGAGGGCTTAGAACATGGTGTTATTTTCCCACTCCTTTTGTTCGTATATTTCGAATTTCACGCAGTCTGATTGGTCAAGGAGGAAAAATGTAAACAAACACACTGGCTAACATGATTCACCCTTGTTCCGTAGTCCGTAGTCCGTGGTCTGTAGTCCGTGGTCCGTAGTCCGGGATCCATGTTTTCCACCAAGCCTAACTTCCGACCCATTCGCAATCATTAATCACATTTCCTTTCATGCATGACATTTCGTGGGATTGAATAAAATAGTGAGGTGAAAATATCAATCATCCTGTCACAACGTGCGCACCTGGATCAACAGTCGTATGTCGTTGCCAAGTTTAACTGTCACATTTGAAAATATGCATGCTTGAGGCAGCTGCGAAGCTCTTATGTCAATCAACTGTGTTTTTTTATAATGCGCGGTCGAGCATTTTAAGGATTAGGTCAGAGAAAGCTTAATTCGATTAAAATAGAAGAATAGGTAGTTAAGTTATAAAATAAGATTCACAGAAACAATGTTTGATAATTTTAATGGTTGTTGATGATAAATATTTTAAGTTATGAACATTTGAAAGTATTGATCGATAGAGCTAAAGACCAACTCGACTAGTGCGACAACGCCTTATATAAACAAGATATGAGAGCTGGAACGAGCTTCTAACGCCAACCCACATTTCTAACTAACAGCGCTGGTTGGTTGGATAAGGATCAGCCCACTCTAGTTGATGACGTGTGCAAGTTTCTGTGGACTAGCGGAGTAAAAAGCATCCCCAACCTTCAGTAGACTAGCGGAGTAAAAAGCATATGAATCATTAGAGAAGCTCAACCTTTACAGAACCAACGACCAAAGACAAGAACAGCAACGACGAATATTTTAAGAGAAGAGAAGAACGAAGCCAGAAAACTAACATCAATGAACATTAGTTAATCTATTGTAAAAGATCTCCTACCTCGCGTAAATAGAAAATAAAGCAAAATATTAGAAGTTTATAAATAGAAAATAAAACAAAATATTAGAAGTTTATATTCCTATATATCGAATTACAGTTTTATTTTTTAAAATAAATGCTTAAATGTTCAAAATGCAATTTGAATTTCGAACGTTTGAATGATTGAAATGAGTCACATGGTGTTTTGAATATGGTGTTGAATGCGTGTTGAATGTCGTGCGTACTTCACATTGATGCAGGAATTCACACCCTATTTTAGTCATATACAGTACAGTGAGTACATACCTTATTCGCAATAGCTACGAAATCTGTGATGATTTGGGGATTTCGTTTGGTAAGCCATTCTTCTTCTAAGTCGATCAAAACCTTCAACAGTGCGCCATTCACTCAGTGCAAGTGTTCTCGCTGAATAAACGACATTTTACAATACTGTAACGCCTGTATTTATAAAGCTCACTCTCGCTGCACTCATCATGAGTGATGAGTGACATAGAAATTCTGTTATTATGATCAATGAAAAAGCCCTAACTTTTAATCAACAGAATGATTTGAGGTAAGACATTGAAAATCAAGATCTTGCGCCAGTGGAATTACCGTCATGGAATCGTTACAACGCGATTCAGATCTCCTATACTCAACGAGTTTGAGTATGAGTTGCGCTTTTAATTCTAGGAAATACAACGGCAGCGGCAATGTCCTTATCAACAATGGCATTGATCCTTTAAGACAAAAGAAAGTGTAAATTACGTGGCCTAATATTGTGGTATTAAAGAAAATACGAGCTAGTATCGACTTGATTTGCCTCTTCAAGTTTCCTCTTTATCTGAAACAGTTATTAACTATCATAAACATGGTCATCAGCAAAGTTGCTTCTCAGTAACACTCCAAACAACATCGAACACATTAACTGTTACCGCGTTGTCTTGCACCGTGAAATTGGTGTAAGTCACGATGCCGTTTCACCAACTACGGCAGTGTGCAACATTAGAGGTGAATATATTTTGCCGTTGCCGTTGGGGGCGTTGCAGTTGTATTTTTCAAACAAAACTCACTAATAGCTAATAAGCGCGACGCTGACTCGCTGAGATGTAGTACGACACTTTGTAGTAATATCATAATTGTCTTTAATAGAGTAAGACATGGGCACAGACGAATGCAGTCAACGTTAAAAAGAAAAAAATGTAGTTATTTACTAGCTGTGCTATAATAATAATATTAATTCCTGCGCGATGTGGCTGATATTACGCCAGAATTCAGGAAGTCCCCGATCAGACTATCATGTTTTCACAAAATCAGGAAAAAATCAAACATCAACCGTTTAGGTAACATTAAAGCTATAATGTAGTACCTCATTTGTCGAGTTCCTTGCTTGTGAACGAAGATAAAAATCGATTTAATTCTGTGTAATACAACGACTCGTCCTTCAGTCTGCGAAGTTGAAAGTAAATATGCCACTAGGAGCTCGTAAAAGGGATGGGCCGATACCAATACATACTTCCGATACCAATACTCACTCCGATACCAAGAAAAAGTATCGACTTCCGATAGCTATTGAGTACCTTATTTGTCGAGTTCCTTGCTTTTGAACGAAGATAAAAATCGATTTAATTCTGTGTAATACAACGACTTGTCTTTCAGTCTGCGAAGTTGAAAGTAAATATGCCACTAGGAGCTAGTAAAAGGGATGGGCCGATACTATCGAAACTTTATCGTGAACAAAACATAAAACTCTTTGTATTTTACAAACAACAACGTGGATACAACATAAAAGACAGAGCATGTGACTAGCATAAATTATCTGACGTAATACGAACACACTTAATATATACATTCCTAACACTCCCACTTATTAGTTGTGTTCATAGTAAAAAAAACTGTAAAATGTCAAATGTAAAAAAAATGTTCAACTATATGGTTCAAAATGAACAAATATTCAGTGAGCTTCTAAGTTTTTGGAATCTGTGCTTTGGTAAAGCTTTCGTCATAATATCTGCGATCATGTCATGCGTCGAACAATATTCGACCTTGATTTCCTCTGAGATGATTCTTTCTCTTATGAAGTAGAAATTTATATCAATGTGTTTAGTCCTATTGTGGAACTTCCTCGCTATCTCTATTGCACCTTGATAATCTTCTTTGATCAAGGTAGGGGTGTCAGGCTTACAACCAAGATCAGATAGCAATCTTCGTATCCAAATGGCCTCTTGACTGGCCTGACTCATGGCAACGAATTCAGCTTCTGTTGTTGACTTCGCAACCGTTGATTGCTTCTTGCTGCTCCAGCTTATTGTAGCATCGGCTACTTTAAAAACATATCCACTGGTCGATCGTCGAGTGTCTATGTCGCCAGCCCAGTTGGCATCGGAGTAGCCATGTGCGTCGCAATCATTTTCGCCGGTACGTATTTTAATCCAAAGGTTAATGTTCCCTTGAGATATCGCAGCACACGTTTAATGCCAAACCAATGGTCTTTAGAAGGATCTGACATGTATTGTGACAAGATGCTAACGGCAGCTGTGATATCTGGTCGGGTGGTGGTTGATACGTAAGTTAAGCAACCAATTGCTTGTTGATAGATTTCTTTATCGAATGGCTCGTCTTCATCTGTTCGCTTACGAAACGTTTTCCCAGTTTCGAGTGGAGTCGATACAGGATTGCAATCACTCATACCAAAACGAACTAAGACATTCTCTAGGTACTTCTCTTGATTTATAAACAAGATCTTCTCTGACCGATTTCTCTTGATGGACATGCACAGAATATAATGTATTTCTCCTTGATCTACCATTTGAAATTTTTCTTGTAACAATTTCTTCTCTGCGTTGAGCATTTCGATGTCGTTGGACACTGGGATAATATCATCAACATAGATTGCAAGAATCACAAAACTAACGACGCCATCATCACGTTTAACTGACTTCACGTAAAGACAGTTATCTGCATCGCTCTTTCGGTATCCAATCTTTACCAAGAATTCGTTGAGGGTTTGGTTCCAACATCTTGCTGACTGTTTCAGCCCATACAAGCTTCTTTTCAGCTTGCAAACATGATCTTGATGTTTTGAATCAACGAAACCTTCTGGCTGTGACATGTATATTTCGTGTTCAAGTGATCCATTGAGGAATGCTGTAGTTACATCCATTTGGTGGATTTCCAGATCATGTGCATTTGCGAGTGCTAGCAATGTTCTGATGCTAGAGTACCGAGCTACCGGTGAGAACACTTCTTCATAATCTATGCCGTACGTTTGTGTGTATCCCTGGGCGACCAACCTAGCTTTGTATCGATCAACTTCTCCGTTAGCGTTATGCTTTATTTTGAAAATCCACTTTGAACCGACAACGCAAGCGTCATCAGGTGGCTCAACTAGCTCCCATGTATCACTTTTTACCAATGATTCATATTCTGCTTCTAGAGCTAGCTTCCATTTCTCACCGTTCTTGCCGTTCAAAGCTTCTGCTACGGATTTAGGTTCTTCATCACTTAATAATGGTGACTCAGCTGCATTGCATTCATCAGGAGCAAATCTTCTTGGGGCTTTTCTCTCTCTTTTCGGCCCGATGTTCTGTACTTGCCTTAGAAAATTCTGTTCATATGTATCTCTGGGTTGATCCACTCCCACTGCTGGTTGATGCTCTAATTCGGGAGGGATCGCGGGCTCAACCACAGTATCCGTCATCACTTCATTCTCGTTTGCTATCACGTATTTGTCAACATCGTCCAATAGAATGTTCTCTTTATTCGGTAATTGGAAGTCATGGAATTTGTTCTCATGAAATAGTACGTCTTTGCTTCGAACAAAGCGCTTTGACTCTAGATCATACACCTTATAGCCTTTCGTCTCAAGTGGATAACCAATGAAAATTCCTTTTTTAGACTTGGGATCTAGCTTTCGTCTTAGACCATCTGGAACGTGTACAAAACAAATCGACCCAAATACCTTTAAGTTAGAAACATCAGGTTTTCTTCCAGTCCAGCATTCATATGGTGTTTTTTCAGTTAGGGAAATTGTAGGACTTCGATTATGAATGTATGTGGCTGTATTGATTGCTTCTGCCCAAAAGCTGAGAGGAAGTCCAGCGTGAAATAACATGGATTTTGCAGATTCCACCAGAGTTCTATTTAGTCTTTCTGAAATTCCGTTCTGTTCAGGGTGTATGGATTGGTGTACTGATGAATTATTCCTTTGCTTTTACAGAACTGCGTAAATTGATTACTTGTATATTCCCCTCCATTATCCGTTCGGATAATTTTGACCTTCGAACCAGTTGATTTTTCAGCCATGCTTACATATTCTTGGAACTTTAATGACTTCTGACTTGTTCTTAAGAAAGTACACTGTAACATATTTGGTGTAGTGATCAGTGAATGTTAGTATGTACTTGCTACCGCCAATGGAATTCACATTCATAGGTCCGCAAACATCGCTGTGCACTATCTGTAGTGGATGAGTTGTCTTGTTAGAACTTGCCTTTGGTACAGGAACTTTGTGCATCTTTGCTCGAGCGCAGGATTCACAGTGTTTCACCATTTCACTGTTAGAAGGATTCATACCATCAACCATTTTCTTCTTTGTCAATTGATCAATATACTTGTAATTCAGATGACCAAATCTACAGTGCCAAGTCTCCAAAGAAGCTTTCCCAGAAGCAACATTGACAAAGTCAGGTTGAGTGTTAAGTACATACAGGTTATTACTGACCAAGTGTCCTATAGTCAGGGTCTTTCCATCTTTCGTAACATGACAGTTGTCTTGTTCGAACAACACTTCAGCACCTTTTTGCGTCATGGCTGGGACCGATAACAGGTTTTTGGAGATTTCTGGTACATGCAAAACATTGTACAAGCCCAGTGTTACAACATTTGATCTATCATAAACTTCCAGTGTCACTTTTCCTTCTCCAAATGCTTTTATCACTGTGTTATCACCAAGGTATATTTCAGATGGTTGCGAATATTGGATGTAATTGGTAATCATACCCTTTTCTGATGTCATGTGCTTGGTTGCCCCACTATCTATGAACCATAGCTTGTTGTCTTGAGGATGATTTGTTGTGGAATGAAGGGCAAAGTCTTCATTATCTTTTCCATCGTTAGGTTGTGTATTTCCACTTTCTTCAGCTAAATTTGACTGTGGTTTAACATTTCTTCTGATCTGTGGACAATTCCGCACGATATTACCACATTTATAGCACTTAGGACCATTGCCAACTCTTTCAGGATTGTACTGTTTAGAACTGTCCGAATGTTTCCTTTCAGACTGGTTTCCAAACCGTTGATTTCGTTTAATATTAGGATTGTGTTCCTTTCTCAGAAACAATGCTTCATGTTGTTTGGACATCTCCGTTTGACTTTCGACTTTCTCTTTCGTTTTAAATGCTCTTCGGTTAGTAATTTCTTTACATTTTCCCATGTTAATTCTTCCATTTTTTGCACATTCAAACTTGAGACGAGAGAATCGTAAGATTCAGGTAGACTACCGAGAACGACAGTCGCAAACTTTTGATCGGATATCACTTCGTTCATCTCCCTCAATTGCTCAGCCAACGTGGTCATGTGTGTAATATGTTCAAGAACGTCTGTTCCTTCCTTCATAGTCGCAGCGTAAAATCGTCTGTTTAATCTAACGACTTGGGCAACAGAGACACACTCGAATTGCTTCTTTAATAATTCCCAAGCTTCTTTAGAATTGGTAATACTGGAAATATGAATTTGCAATTTCTTCTCTACATTCAAAGCTATCAACGAATACGCTTTATCTGATTTAAGGTTGTACGTATTTCTCACTGCAGCTGTAGCCGTTTCATCTGGTGCTACCTCGGTTCCCATAGCGAAACCCCAAAGTCCTCGTTCCATCAGAACAAGTTTCATGTTGTATTTCCAAGATTGATAATTATCGCCCTTCAGGGGCTCAATCTTCGTGATTTGAAATTCCGCCATTGAAATTACACGATCACATAAAAGACTCTTTTGAATTTACTTTCCACCGTTTCTTCGCCAATAGTAAAACTACGGCACGTTCACGTCTCAAAAACTATACGACCGTATCCGGGACCGTACCTGGGCCCATAACCTATTGAAACTTTATCGTGAACAAAACATAAAACTTTTTGTATTTTACAAGCAACAACGTGGATACAACATAAAAGACAGAGCATGTGACTAGCATAAATTATCTGACGTAATACGAACACACTTAATATATACATTCCTAACAGATACCAATACTTACTTCCGATACCAATACTTACTTCCGATACGAAGAAAAAGTATCGACTTCCGATAGCTATTGAGTACCTCATTTGTCGAGTTCCTTGCTTTTGAGCGAAGATAAAAATCGATTTAATTCTGTGTAATACAACGACTCGTCTTTCAGTCTGCGAAGTTGAAAGTAAAAATTAATATGCCACTTGGAACTAGGAAAGGATGGGCCGATACCAATGCTTACTTCCGATACCAAGAAAAAGTATCGACTTCCGATACCTATTGAGTATGAGCCTCTGGTGTTTTGTCAGTGGTGACGAAACAAACGACAGTGAAGTACTTCATTTTTCTGCCGGACGGACACCTCGAGTGCGATCCTCTTTTATTTCACGCTGAATTTGGCTGGACATGGTTGGTTGAAAACAGGAGAGCTTGCATTTAATCCTGACCAAGGTTTTGTTCGACAATTTTCCTTCCGATTCATGCAATATTCTTTCCTTCCGAATGTCGGATTTAATATGCCCAGGTAATGATGTAAATATTTGAAGCAGTATGAACTGGATCAACAATTTGTCGTCACCGGACATTTAGCCGAAAGACACTTTGCCGAACGGCATGTCGAAAGGCATGTCGCCGAACAGACTTGTTGCCGAAAATAGCAGTGCTTTGAGAATTTTTATGTTCTTTGTGTTTGCGCGCACGTGCCAAAAATTGCCATATTAGAATTATACTATTGATAAACGTAAAGGTTTTGTTTACACAATCTTTTATTAATATCGAGAGTATAGCTAGATGCATACAAATTTTATGAAAAGCATCCGCCGAGTTTAAAACATTCTTTCTACCCTGTAAATGCATTCAAGTACATTGTCGTGTTCTCTCAAGTTTTACTAACAATTTTACTCACAAAACTATAAATACTTTAAATTTACTCATAAAAAATACTCACAAAATATCACTTTTCGGCAAAATGTCTTTTCTGTAAAAAGTTCCTTCGACAAATTGTCCGACCGGCAAAATATCCCGTTCGGCAAAGTGTTGTCTTTCGGCAAAATATCCGGATGCCACATTGTAATTGCCACCTGAATGCTCGATATGCCAGCGAGAGGGAGGCAAGGGGCAGTTGGTAATAACTAAGGAATACTCTACGGTAGATGGTTGCCAATCGTTCAGAGTCAATTAGTAATTAGGTGGCCGATGGAGGGGAGGGTCGCTAATTTGTCCCCCCCCCCTAGTTTAATTAATAAAACACTTATCACTACACAATTTAAAGAGAAATGAGTGATGGGAGTATTCACCGATCTAAAATATATAGCTGACACCAAAAAATTGGAAGCACTACACTGTTGTCCGCTTCCCATTATATTTTAGCAAATACTTCTGCATTACAACGATTGAAAATGTTTAGTAGATATCGAGCTATCAATAAAATGAGCATAGGAACAACACACAATTTTGAATGTTCCCGATTTTTTTACTCTTCTAATTTAAATATCGCGCTAAATGCAGAACTAGCTAATATAATAGTTTATATATAACATTTTAAGTACGCGCGTGCTGATTATTCGAAAAACGTGTTTCTATATATAACAATTAGACAACGAGTCCGAGTTGTCTATGAGCGAATAGTCAACGAAGGCGAAGCCTGAGTTGACTATTCGCTCATAGACAACGAAGGCGAGTTGTTGCTAATTGTTTTAGTATACACCCTGTACCTAGATATATTAATTTCGAGAAAATAATCGATACACCGAAAAAGAATTCAATTTTATACGGTCGCGCGAACGAAATTTTCCCAAGCGTGCACGATCACGAATAGACAATGGTTGAGTAGCCAATCAGAATGTAGGATTTGTAATAGACAACAGTCGGGTGTATACTAAAACTGCATAGAAACACGGGGATTTTCCCGTTGAACTTGACAGGCGAAGTAATGTAATCAGAATTTGTAATTTAATCGAATTATAATATTTGTACAAAATCTTTTTATTGAGTTATATTATAAAAAATGGGAAACACTTTTTCCTGTGTTTCTAAACAGTTACAGAAACACGCGTGGATGTTTGGGAGAACTCGAAATAACGTTCGCCCTACGAGTTCGTTTTCCCACTGATTATTTCTCGTTCTCCCAAACTCCCACGTGTGTTTCTGTAACTGTATAGAAGCACGGAAAATGTTTTCTATTTCTTAAATGCTCATTGTTACCGTGAAAAATCAACTTTTACGCGCTCAAACAATAGGCAAAAAAGTTTGCATCATTGCCATGGATTCATTAATACGACAATGGTTCATTTTTGGTTAAGATATGATCCTTTTAAATAAATTTGAGGAGAGCTAATACAAAGTTGGCTGCTCTATTCGGATTAAGCTGACAAGTTTCAGAACCCTTTTATTCTATTTCTTTGTAACGCAAATCTGGGCTGCAATGAAAAAACTGGATCGCCAATAATCGTGTTGCTCATCCAAATCAAGTTTATCAATTCATCATGGTAAATAACGTACTGTATTTCTCACCTCATGTAGCTACATCCACGAACTTCGGGAATGTGAATGTGTGACGTTAATTTTCCCGCAAATGAAAAAATCATATACATCCTAACCTAAAATCTACAATATAAGTTCTTAAACATATGAAGATTCGATTCAGTCAGATGTTAATTTTGATGGTCCCTCAGAACTTCTACGGTATGTTGAAACAAATCTTCAATTGCACTATCTACGCCTTCATACCCTAAAGTAAGGAAAATAGATTTCAAATTGCAAGCTATATATAAAAAACATTTTCCAGCAAACAATCTTGCGAAATATAAGAGAAAAAATACTCCGAAAATAAACATCTTGTAAACTCAAGATATGAGTTGTCAAAAAACAAGACACAATATTCAAGGTGATATTTCGAATATTTCGAAATCACCTTGAATATTGTGTCTTGTTTTTAACAACTCATATCTTGAGTTTACAAGATGTTTATTTTCGGAGTATGTTTTCTCTTATAAACTATATATAGTTCTTGAACTATACATAGTTCAACGGAATAAGTATTTGATGTATGTAATGCAACCACGGCGATTGCTTGATCGTATTTACAGAAAACTATCATTTCTTTACCTGGAAAATAGTTTATATCGATAACCCCAATTCGTCTGGATTTTCTTTCAACGATGACGTCAACACCAAAAAGGGTTAAACGCTAACAGGAATACAAATTAAAGTTAAACTTCAGATTTTGCTGTACATGCAACATTGGTTTGGAGTAGCAATTTTAGAAACACGCACAAACTAACCATTCGTCTTTTAAGTATATCTACGAGTTTTTTAACGACTTTTTCGTCAGGAGGTGATTGCTTGAGTATGGGCTTTTCCAACTATAAAAAATCAAAATATGATCAGAAAACATCAGAAATATAATGAAATATGATATTCCCAGACAGAACTTTTACCTGGTTGAGAAAGGAAGAGGAGTTTGGCTTAGAGACGTCGTGGCTGTGGAAGAATATTGTTTGAAAGTCTGAAAGAAAAAATCCTGAGTCAAATAGCTTTGAGAAATTTACTGAAGTTTGAGTTCAAGCATAAATAAAATAGACTGGTGTTAAGCAGACTGAAATACCAAAATAAGCACATCGTGTAAAATTGAAATCAATTTATTCTATTGCGTGAGAAAGTTGGTACCATTTCTGGGCCGAAAATTGGAACCATTTTTTTCCCATTTAGGAATAAGCTTTTCTATTTAAGAAGTCGCGTGTAAGTACACGAAGACTGTGTATGTGGCTATGTATCTGTGATACATAAATTATCCTTATATTAACTTTTTACCTCCAGCCTGCAGATTTTTGATTGAAGGTCTTTCACTAATGTAATGTTTGTTTCCAATAACAAAAACCTACAGAATATTTTGCAAGTGCATGAGTCATATTTTCCTTCCAATTATTAACTTGCCGGCTAATTCAGTAATAACTGTTATCACGTATGGGGTATAGGGTATACTAAAAATGAAAGTCTCCCTTGTCTATTGTTTTATTGGTCGAGAGCATATCACGTGATAGTGACGAACCGGGCCGGCAATGCGAAAAATCACATTGATGAAAACTATTTCACATTGGGAAATAAGCTGTGCACATTTCTCAACTCAAAGTTTATAATGACGTCAGGTGTGAGGACGTTAAACATTACTTTAGGCCACTGCTTAAGGCCTATTTAGACTACACGACAAGTTGCATGCAATTATCATTCTGACGGATGCAAAAGAGGGCCTATGCCACAATCTTCATTCATATTGTTCAGGTTGGAATCTAAACTTTAAAGTGTCATGTTTGTACGTGTGCATCTTAATGATTGATAAAAACTTTTATTAAAAACCTGTGTGGCCCTGAACGGGAAAAGGAATATTCAAATATTCACCTTGTATAAAATGGCATTATGGTTAACAAATTCCTGACAGACACATGGTGGGGTGATGTCTTGCAGACCTTCTTCATTGAATATAATACTCATCTGTTATGAAAAACAATTTGTTTTAGGTTCTTCAAAAAAACAATGTTCACATCAAAGACCAAGGTATAAGCTCAGCTTGGCTTTGAACATAATTTTCATGATCATTGAAGCGTATTTACACATTTACTTCTATATTAAACTGAAGTAGTTAGTACAGATACACTCTGCATTTTTCATAGTGGATTCACTACCTCATGGGATTCATCTGAGCCATGTGCGACATTTGTCTTGCATACTTAAATGGAAAGTTATAAACAGGCCTTAAATGCTTTGACCACAACAAGATTAAAAATGTTTTTTTTTAGTTCACAAGGCTATGATGGGAAGGTATGTGACAGTGAAGAATGGGGGGAAATATGAGAATGATGGGAGTGTAGTGACAGAAGACTGGGGTAGAGTCCATGCAGGATCTCTAATTAGGCCCTGCAATGCAAATTATTTAGTGGCTAAAGCCTGTAATATAGAGCAACTTACTAAAAGGAAACTTGATATTTGCAAGATGCAATGCTCTCATGTTGGCTTTCCTGTCTGCACTTTCAAGACTAACAAAATTGGGTATGAATGCTTCACCATCTGAAAAGCAGCAAGGAGTAAAAGCATTAATTTGAGAACATACAAGGCATGGCAAGTGCCTAATTCAGCTTTCCATACAGCAAAAACTTCAATGGTTTTCAAAGAATAAAAAGGTATGTAGATTGATAGAGCACTTCTTGACACCTAACTGGAATGACAATTGTGCATTGTGAAGATGCACAACATAGCTAACAAGGGCCAGGCTGGACTGAGTGCTGTACCTTCATCTTTAATTTCACACTGTCTCATAATAGGATAATAAGCAGATCTATCACTGAGAAGACGGACAGATTCTACTGGGTCAATGACCACAACTTCAGGGTGATCTGCAATGAATGTCTACAAAAAAAAATATGAAAATGTTATCTGTGCTTTGAAAACACAAGTCATATGCTATGTTGGACATAGTTCCAAGCTCTTTTAACTTATGCCAAAATATCAATTTGACTCACCTCAATTTTTTGGACTGCTTTAAATGCTTGTAAGTCCCCATTCTCCGCAGCAGCAATGAAATCTGTAACTTTATGAATCAGGACATCCACATGACATTCGTCTATCCATGGCTTTGATAAATCTATCTAAAATATGTCCAGGTAGCAACCAACATACAGTAAGTGACAACTGTATGCATTATTATGTGGAAATCACAAACATTTTGGTTGAATAATATAATATCCAAGGTATAGACATGAGCTGATGATGTGTCAGTGCATGTCAGGTTAAATTATGCAATGTGCTACACATTTTTATGACAAGCTGCCAATCAACTAGCAAAATGTTTGCTTGTGTAGTATAATATTTTGACACTACCTGATGATATAGTGAGCCTAATATTTGTTACCACCAGCAGGACATTGAGTAAAATTATCACAAATGTTGAGTTGCACCCATGCAGTAATATAAAATACATCAAATTTTGATATATTTTTTAAGTTCTTTGATAATCCAAAGAACTTCAATATTCCAGGGCCTTATTGTTAAGACATGTTGATTCTGATTAACAAATTATACTAGTTTCCAGATAGAGTGTCTGCTCATTTCAAAATTTTGAACAAGCAAAGCCCTTTCATCTTGAAGTTTGATTTGCATTTTTTTTATTCATCTATTAAACCAAGGGTCTTTACTTAATGGCTAAAGTCTCTTTCATAAATTTCAGGTAGTCCACAACTGTAATTTGAGTGAAACATTGTTGGCTCAGATGATATGAACAGTAAACTAGACCAAACATTCATTCGCAATAATAGTATGGCAGCTAGCAGGTGATATCAGATAACATTGATAGGTTCAGTTTAAGCACTCTTCAATGTCCACTCGTCGAAATTTTGAAAAAATGTCTATTAATCATCAAGGGTATTGCGTATTTGGCAAATAAAGACCTTTTATGACGAGGCAAAACTATGGCAAAAACGGAAATCTAGATGGATGAGGATTAGCTCGAGAATTTTGTATCGCAAATGAAACTGCGAAATAGTTAGTCCGATAATATTTTGATTGTGCTTAACGATTGTCTAGCCGTTGTTTGGAGGGGTTCTCTAAACAAAAAATAGCTATTACCGATGGGATCAGGTGACACAGCTTTGATCCAAGTGCACGCGAGAGAGCAAAATACAACAAAGTTCTATAGTAATAATACATAAAGCATTTGAAAAGATTGAAATCGTTTAAATACCTCGATGAGTTCGAATCCAGCTTGGCTAAATAATGCGTAAAAGAGAGCATTAAACGTTAAACCTAAAAGGCAACAGGCCCGACGCATTACCATAAAAATATAAACAACACCGACTAGGTTTGATCGGCTGACCTGCATAATGTTAAGAAGCTCTCGAAATTGAGCTTGTATTTCTTCTTCTTGCTGAGCCAGAACGCCAACTTTTTCGGACTGGATAAAGATCCGGGCTCCTTTGCTACTGAAAAACTCATCAAATGCCTTTAAACATCACTAAAAGTTTGCAACTCTTCGACGATAAATATTTTTCCGGTTTTGTGATTGTCTGAATTTGGAACTTAGCTCTCCCCCCCCCGATATTCAGGGGCGTGTCTTGGATTCTTTTAATTTCCTAGACGTGCATGGGCGTTGATAATTGATGATTGATCCCATTTCAACTGGCGCCTGTTATCGGCGGGATTTTTATGATTTTATCTGTGCATTCTTTTTTTTCTGCTTAGCATGTTCAGAGATCAGAAGACTAGGAAGATAACAGGAAAAAACATAATAGCAGCAGGCATCTGTGTCATGACGGCGTCTTAGATTTGACACATTTCGCCAGTAGCCAAAAAACAAACAAATACCAATGATGTATGATTTACTTTAGAAAAAGGACAAGAGAAATCGTCGGTGTTGTCAATCTGCAAGTTGCATGTTTGTTTATGAAATTCCTGAAGGAAACTAAACTTCCTACTCCACGGATGGTGTAAAGCCGTATTTGGATGTGACAACAAAAGCCAGAATATGATTCAGAATATGATTTGGATTATCAGATAAAGATTTAAAACCAATTTATCCTTGAGTTTTTGGCAAATGAGTCAAATAATACAGTCAATAGACGTCACTGGTCATGTGATTCAGGCACATAAGAGTTGTGATTATGCCGTGGACGGGCAGCAACTGAGTCTTCGGCATGAAAAATTGAATGAAATTTGAGAATGTATTTTGAGTTTTGTCAATCGTCAAGGATTTCATTTTACTAAATACTAAGGCCTGTTTCAAACGTCGCATTTTGCATGTGTCGAATACAATTGTTTGAATTATCTGCATGCGAGATGCGACGTATGAAACAATTGAATTCGCCGTTTTTAATTGCGGTCGACCGTGATGCTAAATTCGACTGTTCCGGTCGCATTATGCGAGCTCGATGCGACGTGGTTTCATAGGTCGCATTTTGCATGTGTCGAATTTAATTCGCTTGAAGAAAAAGACGAAGAACGTCATGTTATATTATTGAAAGAATTTCCCGCGTTTTTTCGTCCATGTGGTATATGCAAATATGGAGGACAAAGACAAAGGAAATATTGAACCAAAACAGTCGACGACGTATTGTATTTCATGTGGAAAGCTAACAAACTACATTTGCCTGCAGTGTTCTGCGTCTGTTTGTAATCGCTGCGCGATACATGAACCAGACGACGAATGCCAAGGCTGGCTTGCTGGGAAAGCAGTTGGATATTGTATCAATTGCAATATTTTTGGGCAAGAGTATGAAGAAAAATTAGAAAATAACAAGAAAAGGTTAGAAATGTGACATTTTTGAATGTATGACGTAAAAACATATCGACGTAAAAAGTGATTATTTCTTTTGAATTCAGTTGACGTCAGGCTGAATCAGCCAATTTTATTGATTTTTTTATTCGTCATTTGCTATATAGCAACAATAGCTATAAATGTTAAAATAATATGATTATCAAAATTGTGCCTTCCAGAAACTGAAGGATTGGAGGCTAGAAATTGACCACCCATTTAATGTCCAAACATGGCTATCCCAATGCTATATACTGAAAATAATTTGCTTCCATAATACTTTTCCTGGTGTACTTTATTCATGTCCACAATTTGCAACCAACTATTGCTGGTACACATTTGGGCAATTTGTGTATTGTTTTATATAGTGAGCAAACAAATGCCGGTGATAGTTCTACAATCCCACAGAATGAGGATGATGGTGAAGAAAATTGCACAAGATTTATTGGTACCAAGAGAAAAAAAGGAAAGGCTGGAAGAAAAGCAGTGTGGAGTACTGATGCTGTGGATGACTTAGTGGATATCATTACATCTGATGACTACAATAAACAAAAGTTGATATTTACTAACACAAAAATCAAAATAATGGCATTATTTATGAAAAGGTATTAACTGAGCTGAAAAAAAGAGCAAATGAAAGAGGAGAAGAGATTACGTTCACTGTTCAACAGTTGAGGACAAAATTTAAACGTTGTGTCAGCGATTGTAAACAAGCTGCCATGAAAATAAAACTGCCACTGGAATCCAACGCTTCCAAGATGAAAAAGGATTTGGAAAATGGTTTGACTTGCTTTTTCCACTTGTGAAAACACGTGACTCATGTCAACCCGGTATGGCAGTTGAACCTTCTGCACTTAATGATCTTAGTGAAGAGGAAGAGATTGCAAAAACCTTTGATGACTTTGTTCCTCAAAAGAAAATAAAGCTCCCAAAGAAAAATCAAGTAACTGAAGCTGTTGAATTGCTTAAGCAAATTGGTTGAAAAAGATCCAGCAAAGGAGCTAATTACATTTATGCAAGAAGAAGCAGACAAGGCAAGAAAGCATGAGCTTCAGTTGGTGGAATTAATGTTAAAACATACTTCTACACCAACTAACAGTAACCAGGTTAATCTTGTTCCACCACATGATATCTCAGGTATGAGTTTTGGTTCTGTCCATGGAGGACCACATCAAAATTGGAGTAGCCCTCAGCAATATTTTAGTAATCAAAGTACTGAGAGTCCTATGTATAACATGCCAACCATTGGCCAACCCTCAAGCTTTGTATATCATCCTGGAAATGGGTTCAGTCCACCAAGTGTGACCAAGTAGGCTAAGTATTGTACAATAGGGATTTAGAATTGTTGCTGTTTTGTTTCCAAATGTACAATCTTTAAAAATAACTGTAAGAAATATTATAATAGATGTCAGAAGGAAGAATTGGACAAACATTTAGATTTTGTTTGCAGCAGAGGTAGTTAAGCCAATGTGCATGTAATATGTGAAGGCACTAGCTCTGATGAAAACATTTGTATTCAAGAGTTCCCATATGGAAAATCTAGACTATATTGAATTACAGTCTATGACAAACCAGAACAATATTTTTTGAACATAAATATTTATTATTAACATTTTGCATTTTTTGGTAAAAAGAACAGATTAATACAAACATTTTACTAGGGTTTTTGCCCAAGTCAATACTGATGCATAAATATTACCTTATGCAGAGAAAGAAATTTTTTCAAACACACTTACTAGAGTATATAAATTTGTATATTAATTATTAGCAAGAGTAACCTTACACTTAAACTCTGATACCATATCAACAGCGCATATTCAATGAAACATCTTTTCCCATTCATTTTGCTCATTTGAGCATTTCTTCCTACTGTAATTTTTTAAATTCAAAGTTACTGTTGCAAACACTTCAAAGTTGAAATTAACGTGAAGTGTCCCCTCATAAGGTAATGTTGGGGATATATAATATGCATCACTTTTGACTTCAGCAAAAACTCTTAAATTCCTTTTAACAGAATAAACAAGAACAACGTTCAATTATGTTCGAATAAATCCAGTCTCTTTTTCAAGCCAAAGTTTTTCAACCAATGCCATTCTAATCTTTTCCGCCAGAGGCGATGAATTGTTTACTTTGGAACAATTGGTCATTTGCAGTATTTCCCGAATTTTTTCTCTATCCCTCTTCTCACTGGTAGTAGGGTCAATGGTAAGGTCCAACTTTTTTGGCATTGTATCACCCAGATTGATACAAATATTGTGGAGTACCATACAGGCAAGTGCAAATATGCGAACATTCTTGCTGTCGCTCTCACATTTCCGAAGAAGCACACGCCATCTTCCCTTTAACTGGCCATATGCCCCCTCTGTGACCATCCGAGCACGACTTAGCCGATAATTAAAGTATCTCTGTTCGGGTGATAAAACAGCATTGGTGTAGGGTTTCATCAGCCATGGTGCGAGTGGGAATGCTGAATCACCAACAATAAGAGGAGGCACAGTTTGTGTGCCCACTTTTTTTCCTATCGATGGTAGACCATCGCCCTCTTCGATATTTGACCAAAGCTCAGTTGACTGTAGAATTTTGAGTCGTGTGAGTTTCCTGGGTAGCCACAGCTCCCCCAAATGAATCGATAATGTGAGTCAACCAATGCCATGAGGACAATAGAGTAAAAGTTCTTAAAGTTATGGTACTCTTTGCAAGCTTGCATTCCACCTGGAGGACACTTAATAGGGATATGGCAACCATCAACTGCAGCCCAACAACATGGAAATTGCCACATTTCTTCCATATCCAAGATTTTTTCCCGAAAGGTCTCCTCTGAGTTTGGCATATGCTTGTTGACACTGTCTTCCCATAGTATCTCAACAATAGCTTCAGATACTTCTCGGGTAATTGTTGCAACTGTTGACAATCCAAGACCACAAAGTTCTGAGATAGTGTAGTAATATGTCCCACGGCCAAGGCGATAGAGACAGATAGCCAGTCGCAAAGCCGGCTCAACAGGCTCCTCTGTTAAAGATTTCCTTTCCAATTTAGTACGTATGCGCCCAAGAATAAAAGAAAATGTACCTCTTGACACTCTGAAGGTTTTTTTAAACCGAGCATCAGAGTATGTTTGCCACACAATATTCCACCAACCTGGATTTCGTTGAAATCTCCGACATGAACGCTTCACGGTTGTAGCTGAATTTCGTGCGGATAAAAGGAGAACTACCACAGCACATATTTTTAATAGCTTTTGTCTACGACTTATTAAAAAGTGCAAAGCTGCTTCGAATGTCTTTCGCCTCTGCCTTGCCCGATGTATTATATTATTTAATATTAATATTTTGGTACACTTATTTGAATTTGGCGCCATATTGCGCCATTGCTTTATTTATTTATTTACGTCATTTACGTCATGATATGCGCCCAAGCGGACTGCCGCTAATTGAATTCAGCACATGCGAAATGCGACATTTGAAATGACGGTCGGATTATTGTTTTAGGGTCGAATCTAATTAGAATTGTATTCGACACATGCAAAATGCGACGTTTGAAACAGGCCTAAGCTATTTTATAACAGTGCACTATTTTGTCACCAAAAATGTCCGGTAGTATTGTGGGAGAATTTTCTCTGGCGTTGCTAAGCAACCGCGTAGTCACAATCAGAAAAGAAGCAAGAAAGGCAGTCATGGACGCTGAAGGTCTGCATTTAAACATCGATTATGTTGGAAGTAGTGGGGTTATTTTGAGCACTGAGCAGAAGGCTGCCTTCCAGTCGTCGCTGGTTATCCTTAAAAACAACTACAAGTTTAAAAGAGTTTTGTTTTGGGGTAAAATTCTTGGGGTAAAAGATGACTATTTCATCGTCGAAGGAATTGGCAAAGATGAATTGAGAGACAGGCAGATTTTATACAGGTAAAAATGCAGTTTACAGTAGACGAATACAAGCAAATAAACCTAAAAATATAACCTACGCTTGTGGCTTTAATGCTTAAATAAATTTTGAAATTCTCTGTAGCTTTAATATGCCTGATTGTCAGATTATTGTAATAGCTAGCTACTATTCGTCAATGATCATGTTTATTAGCTGTAGTTAGCTCACATACTAGTATACAAATCTGTTACTATTATTTAAAGCATCAATGCTGCGACCCTCGAGATTGCATTTGTAATCATTTATATCATTTATATGTATATCATATATAATATCACAAAACACTAGACAGCCAGCGCATGTCAATTAACTATGTATATATATTGTATAATAGTTGAAAACTGATTTGTATATGACTGTGTACATACTGTATATCTTAATAGGTACAATATTTTTTGGTGCATTTTAGTGTGGATTGTGTAAAATGGGGCATCCTGCCTCAAGTAACAGAGGAGATGAGACAAAAGTGCTCATTTGTGAAAGGAAGATTCACAGGGGATCCTTCGTACGAATATGAACATACAGAAAGCAAGAGAAATGATGACAGAGATTCTGATCCAGACCAGGATGAAGAGACCACAGTAAGTAATTTTGCAAACACTAAACTTAAACAGAGAGATGTTGAATATAAATATGAATAATTATTGGCCTGACCATTATTTCTTGCACCAGTTTCAGCCATTATATTTTTTTTATTTGATTGATTTATGCATTTACAGTGACAGCTAGTGATAGGTTTCTGATCCAATAATTTTGATGCATTTTTTATAGGTGCTTGTAAAAGAGGAAGATAGATTAGCAACAGTAATAGCATCAATAAATTATGATGTCTCTATCGTGCCTCGGAGTGCATTTCTCAGAGCTGCAAATGGTGATATCTATGGCAACAGAAGTTTTGAAGGTTGGCTTTCTAGTTTCTGATATCATGGTCATTTTTGCGCTATATAATTGTACAGTTGGTGACATAGTGTTCCAGCTAGTATGTCAGTAAAACTCAATTTTAATGATAGCTGACACTGTATATTTTCAGGACTTTCGATACCAGATGCAGGAAAACTTTGTTCTTACTTTCATTTTCGTGAACCTATTCTTCTGAATCAAAAGACTCTTCTACAAAAGGTATTCCTCATAGTAATTTGATATAAATCCGCTATAGTCTAAATAGTTGACAGAAAACTCAAATATTTAAATAAGGTGGGATTTTGATCACACAGTCAATGTATACCAATTTTGTTCATCTAAACAAAAATGGTGTTATAATTGGTGTTTGCCTGCTCAAACACCAAATGTTAACTCATATTTTCTGTTCTAAAGGCTTCTCTGGACAAATCTATTGATTTTTTGGATCCTATTGATGCAGATATCCCAAAAGGAGGTAAGAAATGTATATATCAATCTACTATATATAGGCACTGAATTGAATCAATCTATAATATACACTTCTATTCATTGACCTAACTTTTAGAGCTACAATAATTGTCCAAACAGTCCAATTCATCTGATTGGGCAAATATTTATATTTTATAATAAAATACATTCAATTGCTCCAGGGTCATGGAGTGTCCAGTACGAGAAAGGCTGTGGTTTGGTCACCATACGTAGTCTACACTGGCTTGGTTTCATATTTTACCATGTACCAGAGACAAGAAAGTTTGGCTGTGTCTATGTTGGCACAGGGGAAAAGAATTTGGACTTACCATTCATGCTGTAAACTACTGCAGTTATCGCATATTTTACTTTTTGCACACTAATTGTTTGTCAAGTCTATTTGGAAGGTTTCATCAATAATGTAAGAATAATGTACAGTGATATATAAAAGCAAGCTCAAAGTTCATGTAAATATATACATTCTTGCTTTATGTTCACATTTTTGTTTGACAGAGTAAAAGCAACCTGCCTATGCACACAGTCAACATTCATGAAAGTCAACAAACACACAAGTTGCAACCAATTTTAGGCTTTCTCTGCAAAACACTAACACTTATTTACTGCGAACGAAGGAAACATTATGTTTTGTGGACCCGAGACCTGTCGATATTTCACGAGGCGAAGCCAAGTGAAATATCGATGGTCGAGGGTCCACAAAACATAATGTTTTCTGAGTTTTCGGTAAATAAGTGTTTTATTATATACCACTTGTCAAAGAAAAACCAAACTACAAGGTAAACAACGAAATATCTATTTATAAAAGATATAATTTCAAATGGATAAAACCTAAAAGTTGTTATTTCCCATGAGATAACACATTATCTCACTCTGCAGGGGGTCGCGCTGGCGACATCAAAATTTTGTCACTCTCGCGTGATTCGCTCTCGACCAATGAAACGCTACGAAAACAAAACTTTGACAAGTGGTATATAATAAATTTATTTTCTTAGTGTAATTGTTAGTAATAATTTTTGCAAACTGGTATTTATTCCATGGTCACAGTGACTAATTGTGGAGAGGCTAAATAACAGGTTCATTCATGTACTTGGCTTGAGAATCCATGGACATGTAGTCAGTATACATGGTCGGTGAAATAGTTTCATTTGTACACAGCATGATTGTTAGTATTAAACCATTCTGCAAGTAGGTCTTTTAACACCATCATTTGTACAACTCTGTTATTGATTTTGCACATTGTTACGCCATTTGATTTGCTTTCTGAATTAGAGCAGGAGGTTTTCTCGGAATTAAACCTTTAAAATAGTAAGAAATTTAAATTTTAGCAGAAAGTTTTGTCACTCTTACTATCCTTATACCATTATGCAAATATTGCAAGCTGGGTGCAGTCAAAATAATTCATATTAATATACCTTACTGAATCAATACCAAGCTAATTATGGTAATCTTGTTAATACTAACCCATTCTCCTTGATATTTCAATTGATTTTTCCAGTTTTCTCTGCTGCTTTCTGCACACACCTGAGTAGACATAACAAGAAAATGTAAAATGGCACATATGTACACATCTGCAGAACATGTTCACACCATAGATGTACACCAAAATGTTATTATTTTTATAGCAAAATTCTACATTTACCTGTTACTCGCCTGTTTAAAATATGTCCTTCAGGAGAAATAAACTGGGCGAGCAATAAAACATCCTACCAAAGAGAACAAGGACAATCAATACCATCATTGATGCATCTTTGAATGACAATCCACTTTACATTATATTATAATTATATACATATTATGTACCTTGTATGTAAATTTTAAATTTCTACTGCAAATTGGGCATCCTGACACAGCCTCCTCTATTTTAGTTTCTTCCCTTCTAACAGCATTACCTGAGATACAGCATATAAAAAACAAAATGTCCATATTACTAAAACATTGGAAATGAAATTTAGTTGTGAAACAAGTTCAAACAACGATATTCTCATCTCTGGAAAACGTACGGTTTATATCGTTAAAATATGAAATACCTTGCGACGCTGGTGTAGTATAGACATATCTTTGTTTTGGAATACTCTCCAGACCAAAAAACAGCTTCGGTATAGGAGCAATGAAGTTTAATCGCCTAAAATATGGACCAAATAGGGAACGCACTCCTATTTTCGCCGCCATATTCATTTCTTTTTCATTTTTTTTCGCCAAAAATTAGTATCCCCCCCGTCCAGAGCAATCTTATTCAAGCCATCCTAGTTTCCTATGATAAATGTGTGGTCTTCATCATATGTGGCTTTAGGCTTTGAGATAAAATCATGGAATATTGCATTACTTTCACAGAGCATTGTTCTACCAAACTCAGTGCAAAGCTGATAGATTGCTTCAAAGCTGCAGGACTGCAATGTGAAAGTGTTTATGAAGGGAAGAATTCAGTTTATATAGGAGCAAATTTTGAATGTCTTGTTAATAAGGTACAACATTCATTCATACTTTACAGTAGAGTTAAACGTTATTTGAATATGATTTCTAATATTTAGTTTCCTGTTTGAAATTTTCTTATTATTTGGAATTTATATTTTAATATTTAACTTGCATTCACAAATTAATTTGGGTAAATTGATGAAACTTACCCAATTACCCCTCCCATGAGCTAGCTGACATTAATTGCTACAATATGAGACAGGAAGGATCATTGGTGTCATATATTTAATAAGTAGGAGATGGTATTACTGCACATAAGCCTCACATACACATAACTTACCTTATAATTAGCTTTCTTTGGCTTAATAAATACATGATCAATTTTTTATCACTATATATATATAAGATAATATATAATATTATATATTACCTGCAATCACCTAAGGTCATCATGCAGAACCTAGCTGAACAATTGTTGTCTGACCTAGTTTCGGACCAATAGACCCTTTTCATAATCACATCAACGCGGAAAGTCTGATGTTACACAAAGTTCATGTGACATAAATTTCACGTGACATCAGACTTTCGTGTTTGACGTCATTATAATGAAGAAAGGTCTTTTGTTTCGTCAGGACAGTGAAAAATATTTCCAACATTTAATCAGTACAAAATAGTTTTTATGATTTCAAAGAAAAGACTATATACAATCCTTTTGTATGTGTACTGCTAAACCTATCTCCGAGTCTCCATAAAATTTTATCAGATTTTATATTTTCTGGCTCCTTCCATGCCTCTGTCATAATGTACCATGCACTTCTTGTTTGCATGATTAATTCTACACCTAATAATATTTTTGTCTTGTTATGAAAATTTAAAACTATATGACTGTGTTTTGAGTTTCGTCTGTATTTTCCCGCTAGGCCATTGAACTTGGCATTAGGAAACCAAAAAAAGGAAAGGATATTGTGGTAGGTAATCCCATTTTATTCACAGTCATGTGCACATTGATGAACCATATTTTTTGTACCTACATTTAAGTGATATCCTTTAGGCGCGCTAGAATGACTTAAATGTGAATTATTCCATTAAGATGACTGAAAAAAATGCTCTTCATTGAATTGTTACCATTTACAAAGTGTGTGCTGTTTTCGTTTGTTAATTAGATACCCTAATTAAGGAATTAAGGCAAAGTAAGTTGCGCGCAGCTTTGCTAAAGACAATGTATAAAAAGATACGTCGGAACATTGAGAATTGACATATATTAACGATTTACGAAGCGTTTATATTTTGTGTTGAATATTACATACCCCTTGCCCTTGGACTATTTGATATGATTTTGTTCTGCCTTCTCGGTTTTTCTCGGTGGCTTTGCGTTTGCAGTTATTGCAAAAACTGTGCGACTCGATAAAACTTTATTTGTGTATAAAACGAAAGAAATTACGGCATTTTCACAATGCTCTACACCAACGGACTTCTTGTACGCATTAATTTGACTCTGTTGTTCGGACTTGTTCTAGATTTCAAATTCGAAAACCATGACTAGACAGGCTGGCGCCAACTGCAGGCAATGGCTTCCAAAAATGTATCAAATAAAGCCAATCAACAACAAAAAATAGCTTTCGTACTACCATGAGTTTTTTTTGTATTTTCATTCTATCTATAGACCGGCCACCATTTCATTCTGATTCATTCGTATCCCCCACTTTAGTTTCTCTTTGCCCCCCACTTTAGTTTTTGTGAATTAGTATTTTGTTTGCCACCTTTTCTTTTGTTCTCAAAATTCGGCGGTTGAGATCTTATAGTCGCAAATTTCACCGTGTCTTACTCTTTCAAACTCTTTCATCAACCGAAAATATAAACCGACAAACTACAATAAACATACCTCATAGCCTTGTTGATGCGAATATTTCACTGTGCCGTCATGAATCTTAATTTTATATATAGCTACACACTGCTTTTAAGAAACTCTGTCTCGGCAGCACTTTACATGGCCTTTTCATAATTATGGTCTAAATTTTGCACTTTTAAGTAGTGCCACAAAATTCAGACACAGAAAATAGCATGCTTCCATGGAAAAAGGCGTTTCATGATAATCAGAAAACCGAATTTTGGCGTGTTCGAAACCTGCTTTGACTATTAAAATCGCTAATGCTATATATAGCCTTTGCGTTGTTCAATCGTTGAAAGGCTCCAGTTAATTCCATTACTAATGTCTTTATTTAGCCCGGCTACTGTATGACATTTGGTCACTGCATTACACTGGTCATGCAAGACTGCTTTGATCCTTTAAGTTTAAATGGAATAATAATTACTGCGTATTTTGTACAATGTGATCATACTAATACCAGCAACCAGTACATGGTCTCAGGCTCAGTCCTGTACTCTAAACTTTGTGACTGCACTATTCGTCTTTCTAGTCGAAGACCAAGGCTTAACGTTTCACTTTTAATTTCACATCTGCATGCATGTAGCCCTTCGGCTTCGCTAGTAATTAAATTGCTTAACAATTAATTGAATTGTCCAAATTGTCCTCGTTTGCCTCTAGATAATGCAAGAGATGTCTTCGGAATTTATTCACGACTTCGAAGGAATTGAAGATCAAGAGACATTTTTCACACCCGCAGAGAAGTCTTTGCTTGTTTATTCATGTATCATTGGTCTTACTACAAGAGCGGTGCGTTCTTCGTTCGGGGTTTGATTGTGATCAAATTTTGTTATTTTATTTTTAACTTTACTGGAAGAAAGAGCTCTAGTTTTCACTCATTTTCACTTGGTAGATATCTTTGGCAAGGCACAAAGTGGAGCTTTGTGGGATTGAAGAGAGTTTAGTGGTTGCATTACAACACAGCAAACCACAAATAATCGAAGATGTTCAAGCATTACATAACAAGGAGAAAAAAGATAGTCTATGGCAAAACATGAAAAAAAATTGGTTTGAATGTCCTGTCGATGACATTAGAGATTACTTTGGTAAATCTTCTTTCTATACTGTAAACGTTTTCGATGACAAATTGTCAGGCACCGGCCGCTCTAGTCCAATCGTTGTGGTTGACACAAAAATGTCAACAAGTTTGCGACGTTTTTGGACGCGTAATCAGAGATAGGGAGCGCTTTTCGTTATATCTTAACGGATGGAAACCTCAATGGGTGTTTCCTATGCGAGAACATTACAAAAATGTTCAGAAAAAGGTATAGAAACTGTGAAATATTTTCCAAATATAGATCATACTTGGGAAATAAGGATTGAATGTTTCTGAGTCTCGAAGAAACACTTTTTCTCGTTAGAAACAAATCTTGTTTCCGCAGCAATGTTTTCACAGGTGCATGTGTTTAACCACAAATAGTTTGTAATTTTATATTTCAAATGTCGATTACCTAAAAAAATTCTTTGGACAAATATGACCCATTAAATACCCCGTCTCCTTACTTAGTATACAACGCTATGCCTATAATAACTAATTAAATGTACTAATGTTCATACCTATTTGAACTGCATGAAGATCACGGCCCACGATAATATATATAACGGTCGCTTGTGTTTGTTATTATTGTAAACGAAAGACATGCCGGCATGTATATTGTTATATATTTTTCGTGTTTTTTCCCCTTTTTTTTTCAGGCGAGGAAATTGCCTTCTATTTCGCTTGGATGTCGTATTTTAGATGGGCATTGTGCATTCCGTCTGTGTTCGGTATTTTTGTTTACTTTTGGCGAAATCCTGGTATAACGGTGGACGATAACTTTCTTCTTCCGTTGTATGCCTTGTTCATAGTTATTTGGGCGGTTTTCTTTATTGTGGTATGTAGCTCTGTCCTTGGACATTTACTTTTCACATTGGCTAATGATATGTTTCAAATTACATAAATCAATTTTTTCAGTTCGCGAATCACACTTTCTTTTAAACATATTCCCCCCGCTATCGAGTAACTGTCAATTTTCATAACAAAGTGTTTTGAATCAATCCTCCCCCTTCTCCTTTGAGTTAGTTTCCTCTTTTTTGAGTTTGTCATTTTTATCGAAAATAATCGACAGAACGTTATCTTGAAATATACAAATCATTATTCTCAGATGGGCCCCGCCATTTTAATTTTCATCTTGATTGTAGATATGGCGGAGACGTGAAGCGGAGTTATCGTACATATGGAATACATACGGCTATGAAGATGCTTACGATATAAGGCCAGAGTTCAATGGCGTTATACGCGATAGTCCTGTCACCGGAAAACCTGAGAAGTATTTCCCGCGATGGAGACGTTGGTTGAGATATCTTGTCAGCGTTATCTTCACCTTGCCAATGTTGTTCGTTGCGGTGTTGGCTATGCTGTGTTCCCTCAACCTCAATGGTTATATAAAAGATAAACACAGTCCTATATATGTCTCTGCGTTGGCTTATTACGCTGAACCCGTGAGTGCTTTGAAATTTCTTACACTTCTTTGATCATGATTTTATGATATAGCTAATTTTACAGTAACCACACTGATAAAAAATCCTTTTTGGTGAATATAAATTTATTCACCTGCTCTGTTATCTTCACTCCTATTGAATCTTTTTAAAATAATCCTCGTTTTCTAACTCCTGCCTTTTACGACTGTCTATATGTACAAGTCTTTTTATTCTTCATTTTAATGACCCCCTTTCTAATCTGTTAGTGACGTATACCCCCTTTCTAGTGTCCTCTCTTAACTTTCCTCTCTAATTATTAGTCTCTAGTAATTCGTCTTCTATAATCTCTCAAATAACCTTCTTTCTAAAATAATTCTCCTCAGTGACTCTCGCTAGCACCCTATAACCCTTCCTTCTAAAGAAACATTGCATGCATGGAGAACATCGACAAGTCATGTACAAGCATATAACACGATATATTTCTTCTTCTGTAGGGTCACATATTCGCCGGTGACAGTCCCTACTATGGTTATCTCATACCAACGGTTGCTCACTCCATTGTTATAAACATTCTTAACACAATTTATAGATCAATTGCTACCCGATGTACGGATTTTGAAAATCACAGGTTTGTTATAACGTTCTGCCTGTTATATGATTAATTAGATGACTATTAACCTGCCATGCACAAAAAAACGCTACAGAAAGTCCATCGGTAAACAAATTTTCAATCAGTTCTAGTTAATGTTTCAATAACCCTTCTATTTTTTTGTTCCCCACGCATATGATATTAACCAAGATGACATATTTAACAATTAGTCGCCTAAGGCGAGGTGAATATAGGCTTGTAATCACCGAGCCTGAGGCGACTAATTGTTTTAGTATAAATTTCAAGGTGTTTACAAATAATAATCAACATAATTTCATAAAGATTTATAATCACTTCAAATTTCTTAGCTGAAAAACAACAACAAAAAGCTATAGTCACCGCCCAGTGACTATCACTTCAGAGACAGTGAATCTTGACCAATCAGAATGCAGGAAAATCAATAGTCACCTCGAAATTCATACTAAATAACTATATTGTTGTGATTGTATCATTCGCATAATATTAAAATGCGTGCATATTTCAGGAGATTAGTTGGAGTATACTAACTTTCTGCATTTCAATCTCTTTTCTTACAGAACGGAATCTGAGTGGGGTAGATCGCTTATTGTAAAGCGAGTCGCATTCGAGGCATTTGATTGTTTCCTTCCTTTATTCTACATTGCGTTTTACCAACTTGACGTTGTTAATCTCCGTCGAGAACTGCTTGGCTTGTTTGGAGGCAAGTTGTGATTTTAAACCATAATACTAATCCAGCCATGCATAGAATTAATCTGAAGTACCTGCATATAGGGCAAGGAGCGTGTTTTTAAGATATTTAGTTATGCACTTTTGTCGGTTAACTGCATGAATTTGTGGATAAATTGAATCGGAAAAAGAACGACTGAATGGCGGATGTGGCAAAAATGCATCATCTTTTTAGTAGGATTTCAACCTATAGGCTTCTTTGGCTCAGCCAATTAGGCTGAGAAATAATTTGCCAGGGAAACCCAATCCACGGCTCTAACATCTCCCACTTTTTGTAATTATATCATTTTAATGAGTTTTAAAACAATTTGCTCATTTCCATTACTTGTTTTCAGGCGACGAGATACGGAGGCTGGTAACTGAGACAATAATCCCGTTTATAACCGAAAATGTTTCACAGTGGCGAATCAAGAGACAGTTTTGTGAGATTCACAAAATGTCTAAAGTCCAAGAACAGGTACTGGATAAAAATTACGGTCATGAAGTAGAAATACATTAAAATGGGACAAGTTTAGTTCAGTTTTTTCCCCTAGTGACATTTTATATAGCTAAGTGTAAAGTAAGTATATAAGTTAACTAAAGATGTAAACTAAATGAACTATGATTCATTTGTTAAAAAGATTGTTTGGAAAAAGGTCATGTTGCTTTAACGTCAGATTATCCATACTTTTAGGCAATATCCGACTCGGTATTAGAAGAATATGATCAATTCGATGACTACTTGGAGATGGTGATGCAATTTGGGGTTCGTTTATAACATTTGAGGCGTATATAGCCAGTGGATTTCTTGTCTTCCACCATGTAAACGATTATGGTGCAAACGGTTTCTTTTCATTTTGAACAATTTACAGTACGTTACCTTGTTTGCGTCTGCCTTTCCTCTGGCGTCTGCTGTTGGCGTCGTCTTTCTCCTCATTGAGAGCCGCTCAGATATGTTTAAACTTCTCTTTATTTATCAACGACCAAAAGTTCTAAGGTAATTTTTATATATTTCAAATGCATGCATGGAATTGTAAACATCACAATGAAACTTTTCAGACGTGAACGTCAAAGACGACGTGAAAGTGGCGAGTTAATGGCGTGGCACGTCCATATTTAGGCGCATCACGCCATTTATTCGCCATTTTTACGTCGTCTTTGACGTTCACGTCCTCATGCTAAATCTCACTATTTATTGTCCATTTCAAAGCTGTTACCTTTATCTTTTCTTATCTTCTCGCCTGAGTGTTAATAGTAGAATACGCAATCAACTGAAATGAAAACGACTCAAATTACATGCCTTAAAAAACACAGATGTGTCAATTGTAGCTACATTGTTTTACCATGCAGAACGTGTGATATTGGCGTATGGTACAATGTATTGTGGTGCATGGTCGCCGTATCAATGTTAACCAACACTGTGATAATGGGATTCTCATCAGAACAGCTTGCTGAATGGTTACCGTGGATGTACGAAACTATCGAGGGAGATCAATTCATCAAGCTAGGTTATGGCAGGTACGTAGATTACATGATATCCCGAACCAATCCACTGGGGCTCTTTGCTAGCTGTATCATAAATCGTTTCATCTGACATTTTTTGTATGTTTCCTATAGGTACATAGTTGCTTGGGTCTTCGCATTTGAACACTTTCTTATTCTGTCCGCTTTGTTTATCACGTGGTTTGTGAACAGCAAACCGAAATGGGTTCGCGTTGCCATAGCCAAGGAGAAATACGAGAAGAAGATGGAAGCACAGGAGGCAATATTATTGACAACCGAGAGAAGTCGCTCGTTACGAAATTCGAAGAAATCTCAATAATTACAGCCGTTCATTCCTGTCGCGTAGGTATTTAAACACAGTCTACCATAAATTATGCCGAGAATAATTTTGAGGCCAACTATATTTATATTGTTTTCACGTATACACTGATTTTGGACAATCAAAACAGTAAAAACAATCACTACTGCATATAGGTGCTTTGCAATTGCTGCCATTTTGGTTGATCTTTCAAAACATATGCACAAAATCATGTTTCTGGATTTTGCTGATGACATGAGCTTCATCGACTCGTGTAAATGTTTAAAACCTTTGGTTTAACTACGCTTGTGCTTTTTTTTTCAATTTTGCTAGACTCTACTTTCTTATATACAAGAATTATTTAATTAGCAAGTAATTAGTAACTAATGAATGATACTGAAGGAATTTCAGTTATTAAGATGCATATGTCAAGTATGTCCTCTAAATATACAGTCAAAATTCATTTCTAACTTTTACTAACTTCAGCTTTCACACTCATATCAATCAATTTTCAATTGTGTTTGTCAGCTAAATTTTGACTAAAGCTGATAAATTTCTCGTCGTTGTTAAGACCAGCGAGAAGTTTCATAAAACCAGGATTCGGTTGTGCCATTTTTCTTCCTTCCTGTACAAACTCTAGTGCTTTCTCCAAAGAGAGATTCATAAACGCCATAACGTAAGCCACGACGATAGTTGATGACCGAGATTTGCCCTAAAAAAGAACTTTGTAGTTAAAAATGTCTAAAGTTATAGCATAGGAAGCCCAGACAAACGAGTTGAAGTTAATAAAAATCCGTAAAACACTTGAGATATGTGTTAAAATGAATTAAAGTATATGTAATTTGCTACAAAACTACTGTTAGAACTATTCAACGAAGCGTGAGATGACTTTGAGATATTGAAATGAGTAAATAACACGATCTTGGCAGTCGTGTAGTCATCCCAACAATGGTATTTACCTGTTTTCTTTCATAAAGACTTATTCCAATACCTCAAAGTCATGTCTCGCTTCGTTGAATCTCGGATAACCGGGCTCATGTAAACAGCCCCTAAGTTACGTCGCTAGTTGCATAGTCAAATGGCAGCGCCACTGGAGCACGCTACATACATGGTTCTAACAGTAGTTTTGTAGCAAATTACATACTTTAATTCATTTTAACACATATCTCAAGTGTTTTACGGATTTTTATTAACTTCAACTCATTTGTCTGGGCTTCCGATGGTTATAGTCAATAGTCGTCCTCAAAATGGTGCCGTTTTTGTTCGTAGACGCAAATACACGTACACCACTTGAGCCCCCGTTTACACTATTTCTATTTCAACAACCCTGTGAGCGCTGATTGGCTAAAATAGTGAGCGCGGGATCACCGGAAAGATGCTAATTAATCCGACATTCCAACTATGCTACATTTTTTATGATGTAATATACGCAATATTAGCTGTATTCCTCTAATTCCTGAAACGGTAAATTGACAAAGTAAGACTGACAGTAAAGTGAAGACACTAACTCTTAATGCTTTGTTTAAGAAAAGTTCTGTCTATGAAATATTTATTTGTTTGCTACAAACGTTAATTATTTTGCATCCTACCTGAGCACAATGAACGAAAACATTGCCATTCGTTCGTGCATTGTGAATGAAAGTCATTCCGTGTATGACGTCATCAATAGGGATTTCAAACTCTGCATCATCGTCCCAGGATAATGTCAGATAATCAATATGCAGCTCCTTCACAATTTTTTTAACAGATTTCTTACAAGAAAGAGAAAACATTACAACTACTTGAAAACACAATCTGGGTTTTAAACAAAGTCCTTCAATAGCACATTACTTTTACCCCTTACTTCATACTTTGGTCCAAAGAAGTTCACCAATCCTGCGGCAACATTAAGAATATGTGTGATATGCTGATTTTGCAGAAACTCTTGGTTAATTGAGGCTCGGTAACCACCAAGATACAAACCGCCTCTTTCAGTGGTGTCATCAGTTGGAATTATAACACTGCCTAACTTATCCATAGATTGGGTGTACTCCAGTGCCTACAAATGTTCATTCAGTAATGGTTGGGGAATTAGCACCAATATATTAAAGGTAACTGTTTTAAGGCAGTAATTTTATATATAGAGCAGTAAAGAAGGCTAGGTAACGATATAACAAGCACCAGTACCCACTGCCTGTTACTCTAGCACTGCATAATGCAGGTGTTTCATTGCTTTGATATATTATGAGGTATATTTCTTTAGAGGGTTGGTCTCTTAGAAATATTTTACTTCAGGTTAATGGGAACTTGTGTGAATTATCCAAGCCCTTTCACTTACAGTGACTTACCCTCATCAAAACCTCTTTACTCTGAATGGAACTTCTGTTGTGCTTGGAAATTTCCTTTGAACAGGTGACACACATATTTGCTCTAAATCGATTTGGGACAAACTTTACACAACTTGACTCCCCAGTGAAGTTGACATGTGTATAAAAGTTTTCTGCCATGATTGTCTGAATTTAAGCATTGGTCAGGTGGATAGCTGTCTAAATCAGTGATTGAAAATAAAAAGTAATTTTAAAATTCATCCACGTCATACACATATATTGCAATTAAACTTGTCACGCACTTCAATTAAACATCTCAATGACTTGTCAATAAATGTCCTATATTATCCTTGATATCCAAACACTGCATAAATGTATCAATTTACTAATTGCAACATTTTAACGCCAAAATGTCGAACTTACATGACGTTCTTCACATTTTGCGGAAATAACAATTTTGCTTTCACAATCATAACATTCGTTAGATAATTACAGGGTTGGTTATCATTTTCTCGAAAAAGATCATTTTATTCCGGAGTTACAGTGTTCTGCCTTGAGAATTGTGTTTTTTTGTCTGCATGAAACATTTAGGCGCTGAATGGGATGTCAATTGTCTCTTCAGCAAGGTCTGTATTTGGCTGCAAACGAGCTAGGTTTTGACGAAGCTGATTTGCAAGAATGGCGTGTGAAAGATCACCACATTGAGTGCTTAGCCTTAGTGAGTAAATATTTCTCAAATATGTCTTCCCTTTGACAGTGCATGTATCCTGCATGCGCACAAGCAGGACCGATTTATTTATTGAAACTAATTTCGGCACATCAGTATTTGCTAAAGTGAATAAATTCTTAGAGATTATAACTAAAAATTACAGCAGGGGTTGCACTGAAAGTGTATGAAATAACCTCCCTATGAAATAACCTCCCTCCTCCTAGGTTGCTATAACAGCTTGCCCAAATGTTAATGTATATCTTTTAGTTGCTTATAATGACTGCTCTAATTAATTGATGTCTATTTATCGACTTCCATATTTATTGACTTCCATTGGAACACTTTATGATCCCATGTCTGCAAGTTGTACATTCTGGTATAGAAGGGTGCCAGGCTAGTCAATGAGGCCATGAGTATGGCATACCCTACCGGTCTCCATGCTCAATAATTTAACTTGATTGATGCATTACCACTACTACTTTTTTCCACATAATTTTCTCTTCCAACTTCAAGTACTTTTTCATTGAGGAGCAAATTGATGTCTGGTTATAATGCACTATGCATTCCATATTTTTTTAATTAATAAAGAATTTCATTGATAAGTAATCAAGGATCAGCTAGCTTCAGCAAGGAGTATGTGGTTTCTCTGTCCCACTCAAGGTGGTGTGCAAAATAGTAAATGTCGTCTTATCCCTGATATAACTTGCTATAACTTGTTACATATAGTCTTCTGTGAATGCATACAGGAGAAATTATATGTATTGTAATCTTCTCTTTAAGGTTGAAGGGAAATGGTTGCAAGAACTTTGTGATGGTGTGTACACTAAGCCAAACAGTTATTCTGGAACTTCATATGAAAGATTTCTGTTACTTCAGAGATCAAATAATGAAGTACCTAAGCCATGGAAACGTGTAGTTCTGAAAATCTACAATAAACCATTGCAGTCTTTTAGGTATGACATAGTCTTACAGCTTTCCTTGGTATATGTACCATTACATATCAATGGAGGTGCCTGCATTTGAATGCTTCTCTAACGGGACATCAATCCAATAATGTAATGTAAATTTTAGGATTCCAAAAGTCCCATGTGATCGCAACTTTCCATGCAGCGACACCTTTGCTGATTTGATGTCATATGTGTCAACGGAAAACTTCAAGAATTATTTGCTGCAATCTTCAAAAAAATACAGCAGTACACCACAGAATGGTGATGGAGAAATTGAAGAGATTTCCGGAGAGGTACTGGATAACTTTATTTTATACGTCTAATAACCTTGCCAGAAATCGGTCCCCGCTAATAACCGACGAGCTCATTATTATCTGCAACTAGCTCATATTCATCAACAACGATTAAATAGACAATAATGACTTTATTGTGTTTCTGAGACTTATTTTTCAGTTATTTTTGTTACGAATTCCCGTCTTGACACGGTCTTCCACCCGCCTCGCATGTGTTAGTTTTTGTCTTTTACGTAAATTTTGTCATTTTAGTTGCCACTGCTAAATGGTCTCTGTTTTCTTTCTAAAAATTTAATTTTCAGGACATTCTACGGCGCTTTGCCAAACATTTGTTCAATTTGGAAATCATCAAGCTCGGCAAAGTGTCTCGTGACGAATCCGCAGATCTCAAAGTCAGCAATTCCAACTCAGTGGAAAAGTTGCCTTCCAAAGAATCGTTTGAGCCGTCAACTGAAAAAAGCTTCTCTGGTCTCTTGTCGATTTACGGAATACTGGAGAGCAAAAGCGCGTATTTCGTTTTTGAGCCGCTCGCCCCTCATTCGTTGCAAGACGTTGTTTGGTTCAGTCCTAGTGTCATATCGTCCACGATCACGAAGCCTTTATTCCTGTTGTATCAAATCCTTAAAATGTTTGAAACGTTCCACGCTTTTGGTTATTACTGTACGGTAAACAGCCTTCAAAATATAATGCTTGGGAATTGCCTTTGGCTTCATTTAAGTGCGAGCAGTGCCAACGTCGGTGATTTGACGCCTGAGACCAAGAAACCCACCAAAAGCGCGGAACAAGGTTCTCCGGTAAAACCCGAGTCGGACTCAAAAGAGATCGGCGCTTGCGAGGTGTCGTCTCCATTTCAAAATTGCGGTCTACCAGAGTTAATTGATATGTGGGTTAAGAAGGAAATAAGCAATTTTGATTATTTGATGGCTTTGAACAAGCTAGCCGGACGCCGACTCGGTGACCCCAACTATCACCCTGTGCTCCCTTGGGTCACAGACTTCACGTCACCCAGCGGCAAATACCGTGATCTGACAAAATCGAAATTTCGCATCAACAAAGGCGACTTCCAGTTGGACATCACGTTCAAAAACGTCGCAGATTCAGATGAAGACGTGACCGAGAATCCGCCACATCACGTCTCCGGAGTCCTTTCCGAGATCACGTATCACGTGTATCTTTCACGTAGGACCCCGAAAAGCGTGCTCCAAAAACACGTTCGCGCGAAATGGGAGCCAAACGAGTATCCCGCGAACATGCAACGCCTGCAAGAATGGACTCCAGACGAGTGCATACCCGAGTTTTACAGCGACCCTACAATTTTCAAATCAATTCACCCCGATCTGCAGGACCTTGGTATACCGCCCTGGGCTAAAAGCACGGAGGACTTTGTACGGTTACATCGCAAAGCGCTGGAAAGCGAGTACGTTTGTGCTCACTTGCATGACTGGATCGATTTGACGTTTGGGTATAAGTTGGTCGGGCTTCCTGCGGAAAAGGCGAAAAATGTGTATCTTCATTTAGTTGATCAGCATCAGACGATTAGCAGTCATGGTGTGGTGCAGTTGTTCGAGCAACCGCACCCAAAACAACATCGACATCACGACATGGTTTTGTATCCATCCATGGTCAATCTGGAAGATGGCCTTGAACATGAGATGAGGGATGTCTCCAACGAAGGTATTATTGTTTATGTGGACAAAGTGTGTAAGACTCAAGCCATTACCTAAAGGCCCAGTGAAAAATATTATGCATCGTTTCTCCTGGTTATAGAAAATCATATATCATATGTAGCTATACATATTTTCACAAATAATTTTAACGCATACAGTATTTACTGTAAACTTTTGTTGGACCAGATGAATTTCAAATCAGTTTTAGATCGTAAAACTTTTTCATCATCATTAAGGTCAGCTTGGTTTCGTTGAAGAGGGCCAGGCAGAGTACACGTGCGATGAGGTCTCACCAAGTTCATGGGATGAGCTTGATTATGACATGAAAGTTGAAACGGGTGAAGACGAACTGAATGCTTCTACGAGTTTCAAGAAATTGTTGCCACGCCCTACTTTTCCTGCCTTTTTGAGATTCAAAGATCCCGTTGAGACGACAACTGACATTTTGAAAAGCATCGATAGTTTGCCGATATCGCTGCCGATAGGTTATGGTCCGCTCGAGGAATTTGATCAAGTGGAGCTGCTTACCAAGTTCAAGATGCAAACGAAGCAGAACGGTCATCCTATCGCAAAAAATACATCAGCAAATGACCAGGTAAATCATTTTATTTATTTTAGGTGCAACGATTCTAACGGTTTTTAAAGTCATTATAACCAGAGCAAAAATAACAGCTATCAATAACATCGGCAACAGCCTATAACTGCATCCAATAACCTATTCTGCAAAGTAAAAAAATAAAGGAAGCCCACACAAACAACCAACGCATTTGAATATTATTGAATTTGTTCGAAAATTTATAGCCATACTTTGGATTGTCAGAATGGATTAATTTCCCGAGCCCTGATATTACATTTCCCCCCTAATATTACATTTCCCCCGGTGAAATCATATTTTTTTCCAGGTGGTAAATTCGCAAAGACTGGAATTTCCAGATACAGCTCGCCACAATGAAATTCAAAACTTGTGCACGATGCTGATGGAAATGTTTCTTCCTGCGAAGATGAGACTCTTGCCATGTGATTTGACACAGAAAGAGAGATTCCACATGGCCAAAAAAGTGTTTAGCGCTGGAAAATTTGCCATTCCAGGGTAAGTTATCCTGAATTAGAGATGTTCGTAATTCTGTATTTTGTGATCTCGGAGAAGAGGGGCTATTTTATGATCGCGCGAAATTTTGTATGAAGAATATTGTATCTTCAACATTCTAGTAATGCGCAGCTTTCTTTTCAGAATTCTTCGCGATGGAGTAAAAACGTTGTTCGAGGAAGGCTGTGGTCTTCACAAACGTCACGGATTTCCTCCATTAACCCCCGAACTGTTACTTCAACAACATGTGAACATTATACCATTCCCGTCATACTTCAAAAAGCTTTACGAATTCCTTGTCGAATTCAATCTGGGTAACCCAGAAACCAGTAGCTTGACTAAGGGAAACAAAAATTGCGAAAAGTTTGCTTTGACCAACAACCTTAGCGATCTTTCTTACATTTCACGGCAAGTCGAAATCGCTGTTCGACATCTACCAGATTTGCTTACGGATTTGAACGGCGAGGGACTTGATCTGTTGATAAGCTATCTGAGACCGTTATTTGCTAACGAAAACACTCAACTGCAAGCGTTTTTACATCTGTTTGAACCACTGGCGGCGCGTTTAGGACCACAGCGAACAAAAAAGACATTCCTGAAGCAATTGCTGAAGCATTACGATGTACGAGCGAGCAACGCTTCGGTTTTACTCTTTCATCAGTCGTTCTTGTCGAAACTGATCGTGCGATTTGGCATGGATCAGTTTCTTGACCATTTTCTTTCCTTTATCGTCGATGCATTGAACTCATCAAACAGAGACCCACAGGTTAGTGCAATATTATAGTGTAGCTAGCCCAAAACCGTATATTACTTTCCTTGGGATATTTTAAAGATACAGGAAGCAACAAATATCGAAACTCCACGACTACTTAACGGTCGAGTTTCATCCTAATCCATTTTCTCCTAATCCCATCCAAGTATTGATCTTTAAGTTGACGCCATCTTGAAAACTATGTGATCAAATTCCCGCCAAAATGCGGAACGGTAACTAGTGAACTATAATAAAACCTGGAACGCTAATTTGTCGGTCATCTTTGAAGTCAAATTTGAAGGTAGTTTTTAACAACCGCTGGGGCCAGTTGTTCGAAAGGCGTTTAGCTTAAACGGTGGATAAGTTAAAAATAGAAAACCAAATTATCTATTTATTGAACAACTGAGCTGAAATATTTCGATGTAAATGGTTTTAATAATTGTCATTGGAAGTACATATTAAATGCATAAAATGTAGTTTCAGTCATTCACATGATGTATATGAGAGCATTTTTAAACTTTGGCTTATTCGCCGTTTAACCTATTCGAACAACCGGCTTATAATAGTCTATCAGCAGATCAAATATTTACCTAAGAAATATGGCTTTAGGTAAATGTCGATACCTGCAGTCAAGAAGAGGTGCAAGGAGCTGTTCTTGAAGATGACAAGGACCCTGTTCCGAGTGATGCAGGGGAAGCACAAAACGAACTTAGTGAGAAATCCAATGGTGAAAATGGTGAATCTAGTGGTCAAAATATTGAACACGCGAACGAATCTGGTGATGTAAGCGATAAAAGTAAAAATCAGGCGTACAGTGAACCAGGGACGGCCGCTTCTAGACCGTCAGAAAAATCGAGTGGGATTGCAGAAGCTGGTGATCAAACATATGAAAGCCGTAAGGACGCTACTGCGAACTTTGATGAAAATACCTGCATAGAAAATTCTGGAAAAGAAAAATGTGACCGCTTGGATCTAGAGCCGGGTGTTGACACGACTGATTGTGCTTATGATATTAACTTTTACCCAAAATCAGGTAGCTAAAATATTTAATGATCTATTTATTAAATGTGGGGAAGGCCGAATACGTTGTAAGGCGTCGATGAGTTTAATGAGCGTCCCATTGAAAAACTTCTCACCATTGTAAAATAAAATAATTCCCAGCTGAAATATGTTCAGCTGCAGAATTTAAAGCAGTGCCTCCTAAACAATCGCTGTTGTAAACCATTTTTTTTTCTTTCAGCACTTTTAGCTGGAATGAGTTTCTCCGACAAATTGGAGATATTTTTATACTTAAGTGCCGTTTCGTTCAAGACTTAGTCGTAGACCACCCTCAGTCTGTGGTCTCGTCCAAGTTAAGTAAAACAATGGCTTTATAATTAAGACATCTCTTATATTTCATTCTCAGGAAACATACAAGAAGACTTCTTGAGTGACGATGAAGAAGAGTATGGCTACGAAAATGACGTGGATGAGGACGATGACGAAGTTGGAACGATTGAAAAAAACGATGCCATCTTTAACCGGTCGTTTCCGACCGTAGCACGACGAGACTCCGACGATGACTGGGAAAGAATTGCCGATTCGGACTTCAGTTTGGAACGGTCCGTCTCGTTTCACTCGGAGCATTTGGAAGACGACAAGGAGGACGTAGAAATAATTGATAATGTGAGTTAAAATAAGTAGTAACAGTAGTGCTCCACCATATGGTCAGTGGCGTCGCGGGGTTGGGCGTCGCGTCATGGCGTCGCGGGGAGAGGGGCATCGTTGCCACCCCGTGAAAGTCCTGTTGCAACTGATGGTCATACAGTTTTCTTTCGGGAAAATATTTGGATAAGCGGAAAAATTCTTTTTCGGAAAACACCCCCTTGTCTAAACATTTTAGCGACGACCATGCAGATGACGTATAAATACATATTCGGTGTTGCTTAGTTAACATAGCTATAGATTAGAAATTTGGGGAAATTTGAGCATAAAAATGTTAGAAATCTCCGACAGAAAATGTCAAAAAAATGCGCGCAATGTTGTGGCTTACCATGTTTCTTTCAAGTCAGAAATTTCAGACAGCCAAATTACTGGGGAAAAAGACGTCTATTTTAGTCGATAGAAATTAAATTGGTGGGGGAAGCAAAACAAGGTTACATAGACAGTATTTTTTAGGGATAGCCCTATTTTTCTTGAATTCCTTCAATGTTTTCCTATTATATTTTAGGCTATGGAACGTGAAATACCCGAAGCTGCAGCAGAAAGCATTTGTTGTTTCACACCAAGACTTGGACCACTGCTGACATCGAATCACATCATTAAACCGCTTTTAGGTTTGCTGGTGAAATGTTATGTTGGCGTTGTTGGATTGGGCGATAAAGGAATGCTGATTGGGGACACTAATGCTAAGTGGATATTGCGTTGTATAAGGTCTTGTGCCGAAGTTTATGGCGAAGCTGTTGTTGTTCATCAGTATTTGCCTTTTGTTATGTCTAAGGTAAGATTCGTGCTTTATTACTTTGAAGTCTATTGTGTACATAAAATAGAATTAGCTCTCATCTCAACGTTTGGTTTTATAAAAACTTTTAAACTATAGTTAGTGATAGAATTGGCCAATCAGAATCATGTGTTTTGGAGCTAACTCGAAGCTAACTGCGCAGATGTCATTCAGAACTATTGACGTAGATATAGTGAGTCTGCGTCTGTTGCCAAATTTAATAATCTAATAAAAAATCATTTTCATTAACCAATAATTTGGTCTTTGCCTTCGCGTTGCTGTCCATCAGCTTTTATAAGATCGAGATCATGGTGTAAATATTTGTTATTATTATGCATTACTAATGCAATCTCGATTGTGATTGGCTAAAAACCTACAGATAATTCTCAATGTCTTGCCACCTACACGACATTGAAAATTATCCGTAGGTGACGTAATTTTTTGCCGCTAGTTTGTTGTCAATAATGGCGCAGGCTTCCTCTCTAAAAAGGAAATACATAATAAAACAATTATTGAATTTGGTTTTCGCATGATATCGAGAATTATCAAGCCTCAGTTTGCGTTATCCGCCTCAGCTTCGCTTCGGCGAATAATGCAAACTTCGGCTTGATAATTCTCGATATCACACTCAACCTCATTCAATAATTGTTAGTTATACTACATAACTTAATAATTTGAACTGATAATTACAAGAAATGATGTGAATCAGCGCCGTTAGGTACTTTTTAAATAATGTTTATGTTCACTTTAGATCAATATCTCGTCAGAGCACGTGAGTGTGAAAGGTGAAGCAAATCTTGCTGGAGCGCTTGTTCTTGTCAGGGAATATATTACTTGCATTTCCCAAGATTCATTGCTGCAACAGTTTGAGGTAAATCCTAGCAACAGGCTCGTAGTTGGTAGAACTGTGGGTAGTTCAACAAGGCAAACAAACAACGGTCGTTTTCGTATACTAAAGATGTACACAAACTTCCCACAAATTTAGCCCCGTTTGTCTGAATCGAATGCGCGTTAGGTTCTGCACATGGTCGGCGTTAGATCATATCGAACTAACGTACATGACATCACAAAAATTTTCAATAACCCTAACCCTAACCCTAATTAAGGTAAAGCCAGAGATACTATTACATAAGTATATGATCACTCCTATACTGGGTATGAGGGTAACAGACATTTACACTTACGTGTACATTTATAAATGTATAAATGTATCATCATTCATCGCCATTTTTATTTTATTCATTTTTAACCAGCTCTAGAAAGACTTCATGTAAGACTTCTTTATTTATACTTCCGTTATTGCAAAATTTATGACGTCATGTACGTTAGTCGATATGCTAACGCCGACCTCTGCACATAAAAAGTTCGACGTCTGAAACAGGCCTGAGATTCATCAAGTAGTATGAACAAACTTTGACCGGCCATCCAGTGAAGCCACCAACTTTACTGCAAACTATTGCTATTTCAATACATAATACTTTCACAACGCTATATATAGATCAGTGACTAAGATTGGCCAATCAGAATACCTGGGAGTATTAAAATAGGCAATGCCTTCAAAAGTTGACTTTAAAACAATACCTGAAATGCTGCTATGTACAACTAGATTTATTCATATGGGTGCATCTCGGAAGTTAACATCTTCAATGATTAGTCCATTTTATCGTTTCAGATGCTCTGTTATCAAGCTCTGGATCTGGTCCTTTGTTTAATATCGTCTGCGACGATAACTTTTGCAAGCGAAGCTCCTGCGAGGACCTTCCTCGCCTTGCTCATCCTCGATATTCTTCAAGTTGTATGCGAAATCTTTGAGCGACCTTCGGCCCAGGACCTTCTCTCGCCTCTGATCGCCACATTGTTTTCCTGTTTCGAATTTGGTTCCACTCCTACGTCCCCAAACAAAGACAGCTCGCCAGGACAGCCTTGCGCGGACGAGATACGCGAAACCTTCAACGCATCGTTGGCGTATAACTTGTACATCACTCTATGTAAATGCCTCGGGGACACGTACATGACAGCGACTTTGGATAAGAACAACGAGATGATATGGCAGTTGTGCTGTTCGGTAGACAAAGCATTGTCTAATCACACGCCGAAGGCAATGACACCAACGGATACAGAACCTAAACCGAAGCCGTTTGATTCAGAAAGTAGCTACTTGGCTGAGCCAGAAACTCGAAAGGTTGCGAAGAGTGCTAGCCTCGAACGAAGTGATGCTTTTCAACAGGAAAAAAGGTACGCGGCAATCGAGGTAATAGAGGAGTAAACATACCCCGACAAATAAAGACATCTTACAAACCTAGGAGTGTTTCAGACTTCGAACTTTTCATTTGCCGAATCGAATGCAAATGAAAGATTTGACTTAAACAAAGATTTATGCTCATTAACATCAGGTTCAGCACATAAAATGTTCGACGTCAGAAACAGGCCTTAATATATGAATTTTAAGAAAGATAATGCAAAATTAGTCAATTGGTAAAATTTTGACTGTTTTTCAGAATCATTGGCAAACCAAACTGATTTAATTATTTACAAGTTTGTTGAGCATTTGCGTCTTGTCTCTCTTGATAACTCATATCTTAAGTTTGCAAGATGTTTTTGTTTCGAAGTGAACTCGATTTGTTATGAATGTCAAACATTCGTTGTGAATGTCGAAGAATATATCATTGTTACTCCATATCATTTGTTTTAAGTATTTTATATCATACAAAATAAACTACACGACAGTACTAAAAGCATGTACTGATAAAATTTTTAAGAGCAAAAACGACATTTGTATCGTCGAGACAACATTTGACTGGGAACTGGTTGAAGTATTGGAAGAGTCATTTAGGTGAGACTTGAGTTTGTGATGAATTAATTTTACTAATGTAAGAAAAGAGCTTGATTAAAGCCCATTGTGTTCACGATTTTGATTATTACATGTCTGATTGAAAAATTGTAACTGTAACACCACACCCGATTTCCTGAAAGATGTTACCGTCTGAGGGAAACGATGATTATCTTTGCCGAGTTTCTACGTGCAATCTTTTATTTGAAACGTGCTAGTTCTCCACGTGCTTGACATGTTACATTTATCGTTAATAAAAATGTATTATAGGAAAAAGAAAAAAGATTGATGGAGACTCGTTTTCACAACTGAAGCTTCAAACTTTCGCTGGTAAGCATTATACTGATTCGCATAAAGAAAGATATGACATCTTTAAATCAGACTCAAAGTTTTCACTAATTTAGTTAGTCGCTTACTGACTTGTGAAACTACTTGTAAATTATAAAGCGCTTACCTTCACCTTATGAGCGATAGACGAAATACAGCTTGGTGGAAACTAGGTGCATGGAAAACAACAGTTTCTCGAGCGCTTTTTAAACCTTTTTTTTCCCTTAGGACACAGTGACGTTGTGAAAGATATCCATATTCAGGACAGTGAACATTTGTTTCTGTCCGCCAGCCGTGACAAAACTGTCAAACTGTGGCTACTCAATAACCATGGCGACGGAACTGGCCAATCAGCGTGCTCCTGGACAACGTACGATCATCGTAAGCCAGTCTTTGCTGTTGACGTCATAGACGTTATGAGACAAGCAGTCTCGTGCGATGGATCTGTTCATGTGAGTTTAGTGGTTTCAGGCACTTAAGTATTTAATTTTAAATGCCCTTTTGTGTGAACAATTCTAAGTCGGCAAGGGGTGGGCAAATATCATGTTTTAATATAATTAATTACAGCGTTGTTATAAAGGCCTATTTACACTTTACGATTAGTTGTATGCTATTATCATTCTGACAAATGGAAACGAGTGCTGACGCCACAACCTTTGCTCATCACATAAGATGGCGAATTTAAAATGTGACGTTTGCATGTACACGTGTTTATACATTCACATACGCCAGCCTAAGAATCGTAAACAACAAAACGCATAATGTAAATGAACTTTAAATTAGCAACTAGTTTTGTAAAGGACATTGTAGTTGAGAGAATGTAGAATCAGCTGGGAATTAACGAGCTCTCGTATTTCCAACGTAGTTTCACGATCTTTTTTTCCACCGCCAGTTTTGGGACATACCTACAGGGTCGTCTGTTCTTAAACTCAAGTTTCAGAAAAGCAAAGAAGCGGTTGCTATGGCAACCCTGCCATGCCCCAGTCCTTGCTTGGTCACTGGGATGCAAAATTCAACTGTCAGGTGAGGACTTTAACTTCGAACGATCTTGTAATACTCCTTAAAGACAAAGTCATATTCTATCCCAGTTGTATTTGAAAACAACAGCTCTTATCTTACTCCATAGCAAGATTTCGTCAATTGGAGCTTCTTTATTACGATAAATAAACTTATTTGATTTTGGTACTGGTGTTTTCAGATTCATTGATTCTCGTGAAGGTAACTTTGGACACACGTGGAAAGTAACCAGCAACGGCCTCGCAGGTAACTTTTGAACTTGCTGATCTTTCTTCAGCTATGTGCCCGTTTCAAGCGCTGTACTTCATGTCTGCCAAAACCCATATATCAATTTTAACATTAACATTTCAGTTTCTCAGATATACATGTATATCCAGTTATACAGATAGAATAGTTCTGCAGCACTATTACTTCTTCGTTTCTCTGTTTACAATCCACGTACAGGTAATATCCGAAGTCTGTGTGTTACGCAAGACGGTACGTCCATGGCTGTCGGATTCTCCAGTGGATCTTTGTCATTGGTTGATCTTCGAGGAGGAATTCTGACCAGGCAATGGAAAGCACACGAGGCTGAAATTATACAGGTAAGACCAGACTGATGTAAGCCGTGTGGTGCAATATCGAGATTTCGGAGCATCTAATTCCGTCAAAGGCCTCGTTAATACCATTGTTCGACCTACAATGATCGACGCAGAGCTTTCGCTAAGTCTAAAGGATGTAAACTTTACCAGTAATTGTTTAATACTTTATTTTTCGCTACTGTCTGGTGAATAATTCAACTTTCCCTCCACACACTAATCATATGCATATAAAAATCTTTGAACTGTAATTTCACGCGCATAGCAACATTGTTAAAAAGGCTAAGGAGACATTTGAAAAACGAATCTAGGAATCGGAGAAAAAATCTACGAATTAATCTCCATGATGGTCACCAGAAGCAGACTACAAAAAATACAACTGTCGTGTAGAGACAGTACAATCTTTTTAAACAGATTTGGTCAATTCATCTATCAATGATCAGTACCTGCAACTACACTATGTGAATACCCAATATTAAATTGCAGAATACAAAGCATTTATTTAAAAAAGAACGGTGTTTGTTTCAGAAGTTGCGTAAATATTCAAGGAAGCCTATTTAGTGTATTCTTGCGTGTTATCTGAATAGGTTAAACCGTACACAAATTCAAGTTATGTAACGTCATCATCGACACAAAAGATGGAGTTATGGGGAAACGATGCTGTTTCGCTGTGTTCACTTCCCACTGTCACCGGTGAGTTCAGTTGTAAACAGCAAACGTTTCTATTTATGCACAGTACAGGGTCTCTGATTTTTTATTAATATTTAACTAAACAACACAGGGGTAAGCTGTCTATAACGTACTTCAGGTATGACATTTTCCATCGCCCTTCTTTTTAGGCTCAGGGGAGACGATTCAGAGCATCCAAATTCACGACAAGGTGATCGTTTCGTTGGCTGGAAACAATCGCATAGCGTGGCATACGTTCACTGATAAAGAGGTAGCAACAAATTTTACAAATTTATTCCGTCTGTACGTGCTTCTCTTTAAACAGAATTAATTAATCATTTTTGCATTTTCAGCCAACGTATACCCACCTTCGCCTTGGTAGTGATGTTTTTAAGGGGAACATGACATGTTTTGGAGTTCTTCCACTAAATAGAGGTTATCTCCTGGGCAGTGACAATGGTAACATCACGCTGATGGGATAGATCTTACATCTATATATTGCATGTTATGTCATTGCGATGTGATTCGCGTTCCGCGTTTGTTGCTCCCTCGATTTCATTTTTCTTTTGAAAAATTTTCCAACTAAGTTGAGACAGTCGTTTCCCGATGATCCATCAGGAACGATTTGATTATTTTTATATTCGTTTTAAATTCGTAATTGAAATTTATACAGAGTTTGTTCAAATTTATCACCATAAATCACCAGAATGATCTGCGAGGTAAAACGTCTAGTCCAGAACACACGGATCTAATCCTGAATCTAATCCTTCGAGTTTAGTAGTTTGATAAGAGTTAAGGTCAGATTTAGGATTATATGCAGGAACTTTGCAACAAACATTTTACAATAACCAGCGTTTATTCCATGTGATCTTTTAAAGCAAATTGAATCAAAAGTAAATTAAGACCTCGATAAAACTCCATAGGATTTCATCGAATGACATTTAATAAGAAATAGAAAATATTTTCCGTGTTTCTATACAGTTTTAGTATAATTTCAGTATTGAAAAATGACCTTTGAGCATTCTGATTGGCTCCCTCAGCAGTAACTATGACGCAATAGTTACTGCTCAGAGCAGTCTGAGCAGTAACTATTGCTTTTCCTCAAAAAAACATGGCTGAAAATACTCAAAATCGTTTCGGAAAAATTTCGGAAGCAGAAATTGAGAACATAAATCAGTTGTATTTATAAATAAAACTTTTTCAATACTGAAATTATACTAAAACAATTAGTCGCCTCAGGCTCGGTGATTACAAGCCTATATTCACTTCGCCTTCGGCTCAGTAAATATAGGCTTGTAATCACCTCCCCTTCGGCGACTAATTGTTAAATAGAAACACGCTTCTCGACCAATCAGCACGCGCGTAATATAATGTTACATTATAAATAAATATTCGTACCAGGTTCGGCTGCTATTTACGCTACGCGACAGCAATGCTCGAAGCGTGAAGAAAATATCACGCCGCTTTTAAAGGCGATATGAAAAGAAATCCAAAGGAATCCGGATTGCGAGGTGCAACAGTGGGCACTACGATACTGTTTATGGTTTCGACATGATTGCATCATTATTTCATGACGAACGATCGTCGCCATGAACTTGCAGAAGCGCGAAGCGACGTAATATTAACTGGTTCTAAAAAGACTACCCTCGTTTTCGTGTTTAAGGCGTTAGGCCTTTGCCAGTGAACTCAATTCCGACTTGAACGATGACCACAGCTATTTAGCCGCTAACTTCGAAACTAATTTGTGCCTAATTAATGACCAGTTCCAGGCAATTCACTGGCGCAGTCCTTCAACCACGCGTAAAAATCATCATGTTGATGCAAGTTGTTAAAAACAGGAGTGAACAATGTTGTGCTGCACCCTGTGAACAGTATTGTTAACAATGTTGTTGAAGCTTGTTGAATCATCAACGTTGTTGCAACTTGTTACAACAACATTGCATCAACATTGATGATTCTACAAGCTTCAACAACATTGTTAACAATACTGTTCCCAGGGTGCAGCACAACATTGTTCACTCCTGATGCGACAACCTGATCAATTTTTGGCCGTGCTGCCTTCAATACGCCGCTTCAAAGATGGCGACCGAATTATCGCTCCAGTTCACTGACCTTTCCTGATAAAAATTCTATGTCCAGCAAATTCTCAATACACAAATATAATCCACGAGATCCAGTTAGGATTATGGTAATATTTATGATTAGGGTGAACCATATAATCAATCATAAAATTAATGTAAGACCTATTATCCTTACCCTCAATTTAAGCCCGTTGCACACGGAAGCTATTAGCTGAGGTAAAGACCACGCGTGGCTGTTAGCTCAGCAAGTTACTCTCGCGGATAGTTTTTCGTGATGAATTTGCCTCGATAGACAAGTTTCCCTCGTGTGCGGATGGTTTTCGGGCTGAGCTTATTGCCTTGCATGGTTGTTAGCTCAGCCGATAGCTCTCGTGTGCAGCAGGCGTTACCCATACCTAATTGCAAAAATTAAATACTTGTATTTTCAATGAACATGGAATTACTACTCCTTCGCTGATGTCTAAATCCCTCAATGGTCAAAGGGCCGTATGGCCCCATGGTATAGCCTTATCGCGCGGGTTAGACCACTAAAAATGGTCAGGTTTATACAGATTCCAACGAACTTCCGGGAAAGTGTCTCAATTTCAACACAACGCTAAAGGAATGGCCATCGCTTTGTCAAACGACGATTCTATTGATGACGAAATCAAAGATCTTCTCACTTGTTCGTTGTGCTCAAATATTTTACATGACCCAAGAAGCTTGTCATGTCTTCATAGTTTCTGTAAAAGATGTTTAGGTATTAATAATATTTATTTACATTTCGTTTGTTCAAAAGCTTAGGCCTACTTGGCCTTCCAGTGATTGCCCCATTTCATTTGTGATATTTGAAGGTCTCGTTTTGCTCTGATTAACGGTGAGCTATATATAGACTGGCTTAATTTTATGCCGGATTGATAAATCGAACAATATTTTCGTGAGATGTTAATTGTCAGCTGGGTGTCTACACTTGAATTGTGCCGAACCTGCCCAGGCTTGTAACCTGTTATTTGCACACAAAATAAGGTCATTACTAATTACTTTATACACATTACACAGAGGTTTTTAAAAGCTTAGCTCACATTTCATGCTTCTATTTTCATGGTCAGGATTTTCCAACGTCGAGACAGTTAATTATTAAAATTAATTAATGAGGAATACGAATTTTAGTCAGCTGTTTGCAGTTCGCCGTGAACGTCAATCAAGTGCCCTATATAACTGTCTTTCGAGCGTTTCCGGCGCAAATTATAACCTCTTCTTCTCGGTAACACGCAACAGAGGTGACTGGTCCTGTCCGGGATGTCAACTTCACCTAGTTTTACCTAGAGATGTAATTTTCGCTTTTGTTGTTTACATAGAGCAGTATGTTGAAAGTTTTCGTGGTGATGACAAGAACGTCGAGACATTTCCGTGCTCCAAATGTCGAAAAAAGTTCACGCTTAAAGTAAGCCAAGATGTCGATGAGATGCCAAGCATTTGTTTCGTTCAAAATATGTTGGAAATTAATGCGATTGAACAAAAAGCAAAGTCATCTGCTACATGTTCTCGCTGTCTGGAATATGCTACTAATCTCTGCGTAACGTGCAAAGAATTTTTCTGCAAGAGATGTTCCACGTCCCACGATAGCTGGATGAGAAATCATGACTTGTTATCTGTGGAAGAGCTGAGCACTCCTGAAAGTCAGGTAAAAATGAAAGCAAAGCTTTACTGCGCGAAACACGAAGGAGAAATGCTCAAGTATTACTGTAAAACATGCAGGGAACTCTCCTGTATCGACTGTGTGGTTTCAGATCACATACAGAAACCAAACCATGTTTGTGTGGCAGTGAGTGACGCACACTGGCAAAAAGAATCATTGAAATCTAGCTCCGAAATTCTTGATGAGAAACTAATGGAAGGAAATCAGGCGTTAAAGAATATCTGCGAGGTAATGAAGTCTCTTGAAACAAACGCAAAAAGTGCCAAAGATCAGATCGAAGAACAAAAGCAGAAACTGTCGAAGAATGTGGTGGCAAAGCTTGATAGAAGAGCCAGGAAGTTGAACGAGGAAGTGGACAACTTTTATGATGAATTACGCAATGAACTGAGCAAGCAATACGACGAAATTAAAGATTATCTTGATAGAGTGGAAGCTTCCGTGGCATTGCCAAGAAATCTTCTGAAGAGAGGAAGTATTGAAGAAGTTCTCTCATTGCAAAAAGCAATTGAAGAGAATATCGAGTTGTTGGAAAATGAGCAACCAGAGGATATGACCCCAGTAAATGATGGCGGCATTCAATATTTTCCTGGCGATATCGATCATAAGGTTGCTGATGATATTGTTAATAAATTGGGACATGTTGAAGGTAGGTCCAGTTTCATTAGTCGTAAAATTGACGGAAAGATCGAGGGTATAAATTTATCAAACATTTTGTGACCGAAAAAATAACGAGAAACGACCTAAACATTTAAACACAAACGACTGAAATAACGAGCTTTTTCATGCCTGCCTTCATAAAGATAACGAAATAGCAAAATTCATTTAAAGCCCTATGTGCATTTTAATGAATTTGAGATTTGGGATCATATGCCTAAATTTCCCAGACTATATAACAACAATCCAGATTACAAATTAACCAACCCAGGGGCGTAGCAAGGGCCCTGAATTTGGGGGAGAACTTTGCCCTTTGACTTTTAAGGGGTGTCGGCGATATTCAAGGGCTTCTAAAAGCCTAAAAAATAGGAGGTTCACCATGCTGGAGGTTTAAGCAACAATTGAGACTATCAAGTTATCTAGTCTTCTTTCACTTTTCCCCAACAATTTTTTAACCAGATTTTAACATTTTGAAAAATGGTTTCTCGAACGATTGAAGGGGCGACTGTACCCTTTTGGCTACGCCCCTGCACCAACCCCTGAATAATTGAAATCGTTATTTAGGTGATTCACACATCTCAGCTGTACTGGTAAATCTAAGTACTTCTTCCAGTATTTTGAAAGGAGAGATTGCCTGCATTAAACAACTTCAGAAATGGTTGGGAAAGAAATGTAATTGGAATCTTTGTTACCGTGCTTCAAGAGATGGTTGGAGAGCCCAAGATTTTCACAGTCGTTGTGACAATAAAGGACCGACCGTGGTTTTGGTGAAAGCCAATAATTGTATCTTTGGTGGATACACTGATCGAAACTGGCTCTCAGGTAAGAAAGTTGCAATTGAACGTGTAATGATTCGCTTTGATTCGAGTATGCATGTGGGAAATTAGAAGAACATTAACATTTGATATTTATGGTAAAAGATTGTATATTTCAAAAAACATGCGTTTTTCCCTCTCCGCATATTAATGAGCCTGCGAGCCAGGTGTTTATCTACTTCCCATTGTTTGAGGGTAAATATAATTTTCATGTTTATTCAACTTAAAGGACTGATATTCCCCTACAAGAATTCCAGCTCGTCGTTTCTGTTCTCACTACGAAACAAAGACAACCTTCCCTTCATTGCCGATATCAAGCAAGGTCAGGAGCACAACGCGATTAGCTGTCGTTCTAATTATGGACCAACCTTTGGTGGAGGCTGTGATCTGCTTATTTGTAGTAAACCTAATGTTAATCAAGCATCATACTGCAATTTGGGAAAAACGTATCAACTTCCTCCATTGTATGTCTTCCAAAGTGCTGCTGCAAAGAGCCTTCTTGCTGGCCAGTTCCAATTTATCACAACAGAGATTGAAGTTTTCAACTGAGGACTAACAGCAACAGATTTTTTAATAATTCTAAAAATGTTTTAGAACCTTGTGATTTGGCGCATTTTTATCAATGCTCGGCCTTGAACTAGAAAATGTCACTGGTTTTGATTAAAGAAGTAAAAGATTAAGACTATGAGTACTCTTTTAGGGATAATAATAACAGTAATAATAATAATGCATAGTATATAGTATAATGCGAGTATCCTAC